GAAATACGTAAATATGCATATCTGTACTTTTATCTCACATGAATGATAACAATAAATGAACGGTAGTGATCAAAGTTTTATATAGAGATGCTATCATGGTCAATACATTTTCCATCAATTTACTTGCAATCAGCATTTAGATGACAGTTATAATGTAAATAGAGCACGAACACGAGCAAATGAAACCCAAAAAATATAATATAGGAATAAATAACCGATACAAAAATAATAATGAAAACGACATCAATGTTACGGTGCACAAGCATAAAAATTATTATTATTATTAATTAACCAAGAAACTATTTTTACAAAAATAGAAAAATTAGGAAAATAATATACGATTTCCATGTCTCGTTAAAAATAGCATGACTTCTTAGACGAAGGCTTTTACTTCAAAAAATAATATCCCATAATAATATCGAAATTTGAAAAAAAAAAAAAAAAATACAGAACGCTCGGAAAGGATCGTTTTCAAAATTTATTCATTTTACTTGTTGAAGTAGCATTGCAAAAAATAATCTACCTTCAAGTGATTGAATCAAAGTTGACTTTAAACGTTAAAAAACGTTAAGTGGTCCTTAAGATAAAATAGCTCATTTTAAAGCTTAATAGACTTAAATTATTCATACTTACTAAAACCTTTTGACTTTTAATAAGTACGATAAAATCTATTTTCTCTTCTTTTTACATAATCTCAAGAAAATTACAGAAAGTATACATTTAGAATGATAAAAACGAGTAGATTTGATGTCAATGGTTTCAATGAATCGTTATCATATCGGCATGGCATTCACGTAGCAACGATCATTCATTTAATCCATAACACACATCCACTTCGCAAGGACTTCATTTTTCCTGTGGAAAAAAAAGGCGTGTGTGTAGTGAAAAGCATTTCCACTTGATTAAAAGCATCGGGAAACGTGTCGTAGCGGTCAATATAGCGGACGGTGATGTTTTACATGAAGCACGTAATATCAACGTTTGTATACGTAATTACACACGCACAGAGAGATACATATTTATTCGTGTGTAAATAGGAAACGTGCATCCAGACACGAGATACAAGATTCCTATCTTCTTGATTGTATCTCAAAACATTCGATAACATCTCAAACGCGTTCTCTCTCGAAATACATAAGCTACCTGCAAAAGGGAGACGTTTATTGAATTAAGTAATTACTTCTCCAAATACACTCGAGTGAATCTCCAACGTGCAAAAAGGTATGCCGACATAGAAACCGCTTTTAATTCAATGTAGGTAGAAGGGGAAGATAAAAAAAAGAGAGAGAGAGAGAGAGAGAAGACGGTAACGCGTCAGATGTTTATCAGCAAAGATTTCTGCCAAAGAAAGAAGCAACCGACTCAACGAAACGTCCTCTTCTTCTTCTTATCAATTAAAACATTGCACTTGCGAGTCAGAAACGGAGCATAAATTTTCCAACTATCTTCTCATCGTTTTGTTATCAGTGAACGTGAGCGAATGAATGGGGAAGCGAGAAAAGTCGAACATCGTGAAGAGGAGTTAGGAGGGAAGAGGTGGGAAAGAAAAAGATGAAAAGAAAGAAGAGAAGTGTAAGGAAAAAAAAAAAAAAAAGTATGAACTGAAAAGACGGAAGAAAGTTTGCGAGCGTATCGTAATGTTAAGCAAGAAGTTAGTGATGTACTAAAAATATATATATATATATAAAAAAAGACGAAAGATACACACACGTGTTCATGCATATATATATATATATATATATACATGTATATATATATACATACATAAATACGTATACGTGCAAGGAGAGAAGAAGAGGGAGAAAAAAAACAAGTCAACGTCGAATCCATCCTAACAGCCCGTACATTTTCGTCCTCGATACGATAAGACAAAGTTGTGGCCACATAGAAGAATAACACGGTCGAGACAAACGCTTAAAGGAAGTCTCTTATTTTCTTTTCTCTTCACACGGCTTACACCAAAGCCGATTTTTTTCTACGCGAAGAGTCGCCTGCGTGCCTGGTCTTTTCTTTCTACCGAAGATCCTCTTCTCTTAAGACAACGATCCTTCGAGAGCTTAGAGATATTCGTCTAAAGTCACGGTTAAATCTACCAACTTTGAGTCAATACGAGATTTAAGATTAACCTGGTACGTAACTATCATTATTTTTCTTTCCTCTTTTCTTTTTCTTTATTTTGGATGAACATCGACGCCATATTGACAAACGTCAATAATAAATATATTAATAACCTTATATATATATATAATATAATATATAAATCTATAATTTGCTTAACAGACTAATTAGATATGTTAAATATTTTGAAGTATAATTCATTTTGGTTAATAATTTATTCGATTTTCTAATAAGTGAAATTTAACGAATTACACTCGATCGGTGTTTACATATTATACGAAGATAATTTGTTCGAAGTATAGAATTATTCTTGATGTCGATAAAATGCGTAATAAGAAAGCGCAAAGTTTGTGTTTCATATTATCAGTGGGATGGAAAATTTTTAATACATAAGATACTTCGAAAATCGAAATCCCCTCGTATCGCAAAAGTGGAAGGAAAATGTGGGACGACGTAAAGAAGTGTATTGTTGTGTGTTAGTAAAAATAAAAGATTCTTACTTTCCAGAATTCTTCCGGCTTCCTTCGTTTCTTCGTCTCTAACTCGTCGAATTTCCAGTCCCGTGCTTTTGAATTATCTCGGTCAAACCAGTTGTTCTCTTTCGGATTTTCTACTGCAGCTTGCAGACATAAATAAATATACCTATACAGTACATACTTGGAACATTTAGAGGTAAAAAAGTAGCAACCCTTAACCAACCCTATCGATCGACACGTATTTCCCAAGAGTATTGATTTGTATAATTTATCAATAAAAACTTACGGTACGATCGCAACACATGCGAGAAATAAAATCGTACGAAAAGTTATCGAAACTACGATGTAGAGAAATTAACCGATCGGTCGGTCGATCGATCAATCAAAATGTTTCGTATTATCTTTAAATACTATCCTGCCTTTCGATTAGTTACATCGATCAAGAAAACTCATCGTTCATCATTCTCTTAGCGCGTCTATTTCTATCCTATATGATTTTCTATTCCTTTTAATAAGTAATTCGGTAAAAAATGGAAACGTTACGAGCAATAAATGATATGTACTAATTGTACACACACGCGTACTTTAACATTAAAAAGTGAAGCAAACATTTATTTGACGCTTGCTAATATACAACGAGAAACGAGCTTTCTCGAAGCATGACTCTTGATAATCAGTAGGTGATATTTTGTGTATGTCGCAGAGCAAATGCGCGTTTCTGTAGTTAATACAAACTGGTTCAAGCAAAAAGAACAAGAAATAATAAGTAACGGGAAATGGACGGTACACACGGTAGCGTTTACGCTCACTAAAAGATTCTAATATGCAGAAAGTAAGAACATATAAAGTAGCATAAAAAAAAACACACATACTTTTGATCTATACTCTTTTTAAAAATACACTACTACGATCTAAACGTTATTATTTAATTGATTTTTCAACTTTCTATTGATTATTGATAATAAATTTCTTATCAACATTAGATTTCTTTTTGTGGAAAACAAAAATTTCGATTTAGATTGTTCTAAGAGCTATCTGTTATAATGTGTAATGAAAACGTGACTTAACTATGATGATTCACGTTAGTTGTGTAATTCCCGATTATATTCTATCGCAAGTATATAAATACATTGCCAACTGTTTTCATCGTAGAAAATCATCTAGAAAATATTCGAAAATTTCTCCAACGCTTAAATATCTCGACTATATATGGGAAATCTGTTGCTGACATTTTACATTTTCTATATTAATGTATGAAATGTAAGAAACACACACAAAAGAGAAAAAAAAGATATTTTCCTCAATATTGATTCTTTTCCATTGGAAACAGTATTTTTATGGAAAGGAACCATTCGTTTTGCTATTATCTAATGCAAATACGTGCAAACTTTTTGTCGAAAGAAAAATGATTTTTCTAAAACATATACTTCCGCCATTCGATTAATTATCTTCAAGTATTCGTACTATATTTTCTAACGTTTTTAAATATTTATTTGAAATGAATAATACATATACAAATCCTTCCTTTGTGATGAAACACAGAGATATATCGTGTCGAATAAACATTAGAGAATTTCATTTTGATAGGAATAAGAAAGGAGTTTACAAAGAAAAAATAAAATAAAGTACAAATAAGATACGATTACAACACGAGTAACACGAGTTCAAGTTTACACATCTCTAATTTAATGTTAGGAATTTTTATCGAAATACTTTGTTTCGTAGGAAAAAATCTTATAAATTACAACAGTTACTATTAGTCGCTGAAACAAATCAAATTAGATAAATACTCATATTACTTTTCGTTATCAGACTTCAGTCTTACGACAAAGTAAACTAAATTTTATGCAAAAATATAAGATAACCGGTATCTTTTACTTGTGTACATTATTATCAATGCTTTTCCCGTCGGTTACGTTCGAAAACCTGTTACAAAAGTTCAAGATTTCATTTGAATAATTCAATATCATATAATATATACGTTATAATATCATATGTATTTGTCGAAAATATAATATTTACATTACGTATAAGATCATCGAGAGATAATGAAAAATTTTATTAGGTTCTCTTGAAACAATGTGAACGCGATAGATTTTTCTACTAGTTATCATAAATAGATAATATATCGATACTTGTATCTATCTACTTGTTGGAGAAAGTTAATGAAAAGTCAGTAAAGAAAGTATGAAGGAAAATCACATTAAAAGATATTCGAAGTAAAGTCATACAAAACTAGATTCTCAACTGTCGTTGCGAGTAATTTTGTATCGGTAAAATCGACTGACGTCATATAGGGCACGTGATCGAAAGATTTACCGCGCATGCTTAGATCGATGGGCGGTTCGCTTGCTAATCTTACACGTGCGTTCAATTCTGTTCACCCTTCAGTAACGTTCACGAAACTGATAAGTGACAGTAGACATTATCCGAGCCATTATACCTGTATCTTGGAAAGAAAAATTAAGCAATATACATAAGTATAATTGAGACGCCAGAAGAAACAGAGAAATCAAACGTTCTGTCATTGTAAGTAAAATCGTTTTAATATCTTTAAATCTCTCGTTTATAATAGAAGTATAAAGAATTTACTTCTTGCGTAGGCGGAAATTGTCAGGTACAAATACGGGAAAATACGTTTCGCTTTCCTCCTAACGACACGACCACGTGGAACGATGATGGCATTCCTATTTTCAACACAATATGATTTACAAAGAATTTCATTTTTATGCTGCACGCGAATATCTCGTCATTCTTTTTCTTCTCGTCGTCGTTTTTCTCATTGTCCTTCGTGTCGGCAATAATATCAAGCGTCCGCCATCCAGATTGAAACGCAAGGATTTTCTTTCTTTTTCTTTCTCGTTTTCTTTTATTTTTATCATCGATACGAGTGCGCGCAGAAGTATTTACGAGAGATAACACGAACCACGGTTAAATATCATTTTTCTTTTCACAATCGGAAAGGACGTGATATTCTCTTCTTTTTTTTTCTTTTCATTTTTTCATTGCTTTTTTTTTTTCTTTTGTTAGCTCTTATCGTTTTCTTTTCTTTGTATCTGGTAACATTTCGTTTATTTCTCTACCAGAAAACATTGTTATCTTAATAATAAGTATACGACCGGTGGAATTGGAAAACTTCATCGTTTAATTTATTTGAACGTGTAAGTAATAAGTTGTTTTGTTCTAATAACGATTGCAAAAGAAAATAGCTCGTTAGAAATCGAATGACCTCATCGATATTTATTTGTTGACGATTTTCTATATACAGAGCCAAATGTCACGCCCTTATAGAAAAACCCAATGATTCCTTATTTCATGTTGTGCTAGTTATAAATATCGTTCTTACTCGTTGCGTGGTATACATTATATTAATTTTTCTTGAATTTATATTTACATATTGTTTTATCTCTTACGTACGTAAAAAATATTATTATTAAATTATCTCATTGTGTGTGTGTGTATATATAGAAATATTTTACAAAATATGTTCTCTTTTCTTACCTGTTTTGAAATTTTGCTTTTAGTTTTGTTCTTCTTTGTTAAAAAAAAAAAAATTTATATTTGTTTCTATTACAATATATTTGTACAATAATACATAAGAAAATAATACGAGTGGAATTTTAATTTTATTTGGTTCAGAAAATTAGAAAATATGGTGGTTTCAACTATAAAAGAAAATGGAACAACAAATGAAACAATAAATGAAACAACAAATGGAACAACAAATGGAACAATAAATGGAACAATAAATGGATCGACAAATGGATCCGCAAATGGAGAATGTCCTTCCTCTCCGATGGGTATTGGACCTGGAAATTATCATTTAATTGGTTGGGATATGGATACTACTGGGAAAAAGTTGACCGATGAAATTTGTCAAATTGCTGGATACACGCCTAATTCTAATTATTCCCAATATGTAATGCCTTACAAGGATCTCAATCCACCTGCTATCAAGCGACATAATATGAGAGTTGTAACTGTTGGGAAATATCGTATGCTTAAAAATAGTAAAACTAACAAGGTAGATTCTTATAATCAATAGATGAAATATTTATTTTATTTTTTGGGAAGTAAACTTGAAAACTTGTTTGTAGGTGTTGAAAACTAAGAGCGAAGTATCTGCGTTAACAGATTTTTTGACATGGTTAGAATCCATCAAAGGAGACTCAGAAGATGGAATTATATTACTTTATCATGAACCACGTAAAGTCATCCCTGCTATGCTGCTTGAATCTTTACAAAGGTATAATCTTGTGGAAAGATTTAAACAAACAGTTAAAGGCTTTGCCAATGGTTTTAATATTGCTGAAGCCAAATTAGCAAACTCTGTACGTATTTTTTCTCTACGTACCCTTTCACGTACATTACTTAAAAAGGTAAGGTGGTTAATAATAATAAAATATTTGCTTATTTTAAAAAACATAAATTAAGGATAAAGTAAGGCTTGCTATATTTTTAATAGACAGAAGAATTAGACAATGCAAAGGATAGAGCATATCTAGCCTTACAAGTTTTACAACATATAAGTCAGCAAGATAATGCAAAAGTAGATGAATCAACTGGAAGCGGGGACAGTAGTAATACATCTATGAAAAATACGATAGAATTTATTCTACCATTTGTTCAACCCATCCAAGTTGAAGAAGAAGAACGTGCAAGTAAGTATTTAAAAATACAATGACATGTTTAGTAGAGATTAATAAATTAAAACCAAAATTGTCTAGAATTGAAAGTAGTATTTGAGCGACAAAATAGTCTGAGACCAATTTTTGGTCCATTATTCAAAGCAAGTCGCAAAGAACGCCAACACGCAAGTCCTTTACGTCGACTATTAGCAGAAGCAGGTATAGAATATATGCAGTTACAGGTCGGTACAAATATATTGGTAAAATATTATTATTGACTTGGCAACTAAGTGATTGTGGATTTTGTCGATAGATTATTATTAAAATAACTGTACTTACTTAGTTGCCAACCCAATATATATTCTTTACATATTATAATATTTTATATTTATTTCTTTAATTAATACCAGGAAGCTTGGTCTGATGCTCAGAAGGATGGTCTAGAAAAATTAATTAAAGAAAAGCTGATAGCAGCAGAAGACAAAAAAGTAGATGATTTGATAAAAGTTTTGGAAAGTTATTTTGATCCAGAGAAAAATCCAAAGACTAAGACAAGGCATGAAAAGAAAGATATTAAGTCAGAATCTTCAAAGATCGTAGATGATAGAGTAAATAATAATATGTTGGACTCAAATAATGAAAATTCTGATACTAAATCTAATTCTCCTATTAATGTAAAATTAGAAATATCAGAAAATGATAAAGTCTTACAGTTAGTAGAAGGCTAATTAGCTTGACATGTTGAAATATTCCGGTTAATTGAATCTATCACTTTGAAAATAGTTTTAGTCAAATCATTTAATGATTGACTATAACTATTCGAAGTCTTAGATTCAAAAATATGATAGATCCATTACTGTTAATGTTCAAAACATATGCCTTATGAAAAATGAAAGTTACAATTTCATATTGTTATTATCATAATTTTTTTTATTTGTTGTGATGAAAAAAAAGTTATGTCCCTGAGGGATATATATCGTTTCAGTCGACTAACATACGTACGTGATCAACATATTAATTATTTTTAGTTTATTTTGCCATAATTATTATTACCTTAACTTCGTTGAAGTTTATCGCTAAATTTTATATAATTTTTTTTACTTAATCATAAGATTGATTAAAATTCTAATAAGAATGAAATCGTTCAGAGACTGATCAACGTGTTAAAATGAACGACATTCGAACGATAACGAATTGTTAAACAAATTAGTATAGAACGACATTTTTGTTTTGTTTTCCAATTTTTTTTCTTTTTTTTTTTTTAATACATATATGCATATATTACATAATATTTCAGAGGAAATATATATAATTCGAGAATTTATGTTTATTATTGAATTGAAAAATTACCGAAAGTATTGATACTCTTCTTTTTCCATAAGATAATGAAAACAATTTTTTTTATCTTAATACGATTCACGATTGTTCTTACCTATATGTTAAGATATATCTCATTGTATTATTATTGCATAATAAAGATTTAGATTTAAGACTTGTATTAATATATATAAAAGGCGTCGTTTTAATGAATACTTCTACTCGAACGGGACCTTCCCACTTTTTATCGTAATGTGTATACGGAAAAATACAAAGTTATTTCTTAGAACGATATGGTACACGCGAGATAAGCTTCCGGATAACGGCGACTATAAAAGGGGATGCGGAGAAAAGAATGGGGTAATTCGATCATTTCCACTGTGATTTTCAAGTAAGAAGTTTAACATTAATTCCCCCTTGGTCGACTACGAAAATGAACAGAGAAGTAAAATTAAATATGCGAATACCTCTGGCAACGAAGCGTTGTATCCGCTATTGTAACTTTCCATAAAGTATGCGGATATGCTTCGAGGCGTAAACAAGACGAATTATTTTTATTATTTGTGGAATTACGTAATTTTTTTGATTAATTGAAAACTCTCTCGTATAAAACGTTTAATATTAAATAAATGTATTAAATTCGTAGTACTTTTCTATGTATCTGAAGGTGTTACGATATAAACAATTTATATCTTATAAATAGATATCAATACAAAACTTTAATCATAGTTTTTACAAGAAAACTCAATAATATTACTTAAATAATAAAAATTTATTTATCCTTCGTTATGTTATAATTATACTGTGATAAAAAATGAAGCATAAATTTTGTATGGACGATTTTAAAAGAAAATTTCATTAATCTAAATATTTAATAACAAAGAAAGAGAGAGAAAAAAACTGCATTGATAAGAAAAAAATAGAATTGATCTATCGGAATGTAACACCCACGCAATTCGGTAAAGGTTTTCATAAGAGATTACGTTTTGCGTAACTATACTGCATGTACAAGTATAGAAAGTCGTGGCGCCACTTTTGAAAAGGAACAAACAAAAGTCACGAATCTCGCGTAATATTAAATACATGGGATAGAGACGAATGGTTGGAAGAAAACTCGCTTCGTTATCGTCTCGAAGCACTCGTCGGTCTCGTTTCTGTCATTATCGTCCGCTATGGTCTGTGACGTGAAAGAGCGAATCGCTGCGTAACGTGCGGCCAACGGCAATAATTATATCATTAATCTTGAACACTAGTAACGTCGGCTTGTATGCAGTTCCTGCGAAGTGGCATCCGGATTGTATATACATATGCATTAAATATATGTATATATATAATAAATATGTGTAAGGAAAAACACCGAATGTCACTGTTTAAAACCAAAATTTGTATAATTAAGCTATAATTGAGTTGTAGTGTTGTGTATTTATCAAAAGAAAATGCATAAAAACATAGATTTGTTTGTTTCAAAGAATAATGCAATTCAATCGAAATCTGATAAAAATGATTAATGTTTAAGCGGTTTTTTATTTTGAAGCAACTATATTCTTGAAAGTGAAAATACCTGGCACGCGACGTTTTTCCTAAGAAACACGGATATATATAAATGCTCGGTAATGACGATTCGCGAATGAATTCAGAGGAGGAGGACGATAGAAAAGTTCGAGACTCGTGAAAAATTCAAGAATTTATTATAAAAAGTCTTTATATTAACCGACCGCATCCTGTTAACGCTGAGAATTGTTTTCGTCTCGTTCGAATCGCTTCGCGGAAACGAACGCTTCCGAGCGGACGAATTTGAGAGGAAAGAAAAAAACTGAGCCAAGGTCTACTTTAGTTATCTTTTAATAAGATGAACTTCTTCTCAAAAGAGAACTAGCTTTTCTGGAATGGAATTAACGTGTTCGTTCATTTTTCTTTGTTGTTCTTCCTCCTCGACCGTATTTTGTCGAGCATTCTTAACGAAAATCGCATAATAAACGCTAAAAATTGTGGAAAAGTTACCTCCAGGATAGAAAGTTTATATCTCCCGAAACTGTCGTATTAAAAAAATATTCATTTTGATATTTCGATTAAAAAACAATAAAAACGACGTAAATGAATAAATGGTTAACAAAGACCTGATTGTATATTTCATTTTTATACTGGAGAAACATTTTTATTTTTATATCCATCGCGATGATTTATCCTTACGAAACATATTCCATTCTATTATCGATTTCATTTAAAACTTTGTTAGACACATACATATTTCTTTTGTCAGATATTTCCTTTCGGATAAAACGTGAATTCTATTTCCGCCGTATCGATATGTAAAGTCTAGAGAAGCGGCTATGAAATAAATGTTGTTTCTTTCTACTCTTCTGTAACGCTAAATCAAAAAAAAGTAAAACTGAAAAGAGATATAAACGTAATATTCGCCAATAACATCGTATATTCTTACATATAATTGGAAAGATACTCGTGTCAGTATAAAATCAATTCTTGCCGTGACGAGCGATTTCATGTTGGTATTTTTATCTTGCTTATACGTATATAAATGTCGTTTTAAATTATTATTTCGCAATATCGTATGAGATATAAAATAGAATCTTGATACACGTATGACGCAGGTGTGTAATTATTAAATGATAGACGCCAGTAGTGGAATGAAGCGTGGAATGCGTTTCAAATTCTCATGAAATATTTATACGAATTACAAACGACACTTTTCCCATGAAATAATGTAACGCAACATCGTAAAGTGATTGTTTATAAACTGACTAAAAATATATGATTGCGCGGTATACGCGTTTTATTAGTGGTTCACGAAAGAAACGGAGATACATATCTTCGAAAGTATGACAAAGAAGAAAAAATAATAAAGAGTGCTCTAAAAGAAAGAGAAGACCGATCGATTAATTTCGCTTTTATCTCTCAGTTGCATTTTTGTACTTGATATATCTAAGGTAGCGTATAAACGTAGGCATTAAAAGGAATAAAATAATGAAGATGAAAAAGCGAGATTAATAGAACGTTCTACCTCAATTACATTCCTAATAATGACGGATAAACCACTATCTATCTCGTAATATTTTTCATAACGGGACGTCTCATTATCTTCCTTCGAAAAAAAATAACAAGGAGGAAAAAAACAACGCGTTTTCTCTAAATGCATATTCGTAGACATATCGTAGACATATTATACATGCACATACACACAAACACACATATATACTGGCCGTCCTTTCCATCTCTAAAGTAACATTGCTAAGGTAGAACGACCTAGTTGCGTCATTCAACCCTCTGCATCGAAGATTATGCAACGCGTTAATCCATAACGACGAATCTCCTCTCTACCCGGATTACTAACACCCTTGTGATTCGATGTATGCGAGGATATGTAAATATACATACATATACGTACTTATCTATGTATACCGAATGCACACGTATATGTGCGAGAACATTTATGTTTGTATGTGCTTACACATGTATTATACGTTAGTATAAGTTATACCTATTACATAAGGCAATATAAGCGGCACGTGCGCCACAGCAGACGTTACAGAAAATAACGGAAAAGTAATCCAGCGTAACGTTTTGCGGATTAGAGTGCGTGACATCGTAGAGCGTGTTTAAGCGCGCGAGTTCCTATCAGTCACTCAGTCAGTGACAAGTACAGCAAGAGACCGGGACAAATCTCAAATTATTCTTCCTCTTTTCAACGAGAGGACCGCGAGTCTATTCCTACATATATTTTTTTTCTTCCTCCTTTTTGTCACAGCATCTGGCGCCATTGAAAAAAGTCGAAACGATCTCGGTTTTGTTCCTACCCCATTCTTTCTCTCTTTCACTCTTTATCTCTTTCTTTTCGTTTTTTATATTACTTTTATCTCGAATTAAAAAAGAGATGCCGCTTTAAAAAAAATAAAAAAAAACGTTTCGAAATCATCATTTATTTCCCCACTACAACACTGTTAAAAGTAACATTACTTTTATTGCTGGAAATTCCTCGCGACAATTCAATTAACTTTCGAGATATTCTAACAAGTGACTCTTTTCAAAAAGCACCTTGTCTTTATTCTTAGACAAACACCTATAGATGTTTGGAATTAACTTCGTAAACGTGAAAGCGTTGAAAAAACATTTCTTTCATTATGACGACGATGACGACGAAGGATTCAAGTAACGCGTGCAAAGATACATGTATATATATATATATAGCTTGCACGAAAATCGTTCGAAGGGAACCGAAAGAGAAGTACACGCATAAATACATAAACTTGAATGATTATTTTTCCGGTAGGTATTTTTCTTTAATCGAGGTGGCCACGACTCTGACCTAAAATTTACGCTGCAGAGAAGTCAGTAACCGGTTAAGCAATTCCTATATTATGCATACCATCAGATTCACGTTATGTTCCTTGATCCGTTGAGTTCGCGGCACCTCCCAGAACGGAAGCGTTTTCTACCATTGATCATCGTTATTTTATTTTTCTTTAATTGAACAGACATGGAATCTTATTTCTTCGTAATAAATTATCGTTGATTATTATAATATACTATCCATCGTTACAATAAAATTAAGATTACGAATAGTAAGATAGGAAAAGAAGTATAGATATTTTCTTTTTTTTTTCACAAGTGCTATTACTTCCTTTAGATTTTATTATTTATAATATTCTTTCTTCTAATCTTTTATTCCGAATATATAAATATATTTAATAATAGATTTTTTAGCATATATATAAAAAGTTGTCAATTTGGACGTATCGTTCGTAGGATCAATGAGATTTTCTGAGATGAAAATTTGTGGAGTACGTTCGTAAAGTTTTAAGTCACGTCCTTGAGGATACCATTTGCAGCCCTTATGGAAAACGGTTTGTTAGCTAGGACACAATGGCGACTTTGGAGGCATCGCATGGCTCAAAGAGAAGGAGAACGAAGAGGAGGCAAAGGATGGTCGTTAGTGGAGGCACCGGGCATGCATTAACAGTACTCCGGATGGTCCGGTGATTCTCCGGTTCCTTGGTTTTCTCTCCCGCCTACCTACGAAGGAAGACAAGTAAAGGTAGAAACAGAAGAAGAAGCAGAATCAGAAGAAGAAAAGAAAGAGGAGGAGAATCCCATAGTGCTGGCGTTACTGGAGACGCCTCGGGGGGAGAATTCTTGCGCGTCCTCAACGTCGAGCAAAGACTTCAGTCCGTCGTGAACCTTCTGCTAAATTGCGTCATCCCAAAAGGGCCGACAACATCGATTTTCCTTCTTCTACTTCTTATTCTTATTCTTCTTCTTATTCTTCTTTCGGGTTCTATCGCGAACGAGTTTGGATAAACTATATTTACCGCGAAACGAGATTAGTGAACAAGGATTTAACGAATTACACGTCAGTCATTTACGAGTAAACGCGGAAATCAATTTGACGAGAGCAGGATCATCATCGTCATTATCTTCGCAATTATGTGCCGAATCCTTGGAATCCTTGCATTACTTTCCACGGTGGGTGAAAAGATATGAAAGATTTCATACCGATTTTTTCGATGTATGAATAAAAATTCGTCGCGAATATTAACTTAAGTTCTATTTTTTCTATCAAAATTAACGTCAACGTTCACGTTTTATTTTTCCTACGTTTATGCAAAAAGCGTCAAGTTCGTTCAAAAATTTGATTATTAAAAAAAAAAAAGAATATATATATAAAAAAGGAGGCACGCGTTCGTGTATGCATGCACGTTGATATACGCAAACGAAATGCATGAAATAGGCGGATAACTCGTCGTACACGATTCTTGCAAACGAACTCTACTTCGTTCGAGAGATTGATAAAAAATGCATTTAAAATGAAAAAATAGCGCAGTTCGCTAGAAATATTTCTATTAACTATATTTCTTGCTTGATTTATAACTGAGAGATATGAAATATTTGAGAAAATAATTTTCTTCGTTATCCTATTGGATTTTTCTCACGGGAGGAAATATCTTATTAATTGAACATAAGAATTTTGTTCCGTTTAATTGTTTAATAATTTTCTCATAACACTTTTAATAGAGATCATTAAATTGTATTTCACGTCCGATACGATTACGGTATCCTTATTAAAAAGTTATCAAAGAGATACTTATAATCGAAATAAAAAGTCGTCCGACGTTATTGTTATCAAGCTGTAAGCTTTTATATATATATATATATATATATATATATATATATATATATATATATATATATATATATATATATATATATATATATATTTATATACATAAATACATAATAGGTAGGATATCTGCAAAATGAATTATAAATCTTTTTTTCGTTCATAAAGTCGAACAAGAAGCTGATGGTTCTTTTTAATGTAACCATGCAACAAATACGGGAAATACATTTTATATTACACTACTATCATCATTACCACCATTATAGTTAAATTATCATCGAAGCATGCCGGTGAAGATATACTGTCAAGGATGATATCCACATCCGCATCGATTCACTTTAATCTATCAAGAAAAGCATGGTCTATTTACTTATTGTATACTTAAAAAGTTCGCTTGTTTAAATACGAATAAAATTGAAAAAGTAGAAGGAAATATTTAAACAAAAAAAAAAAGAAAAGAAAAGTATTTAATTTTCTTAAGGAAAAACAAAAATATATGATGATGGATCATAAAGTTTCGTACGAAAATAATCTCCTATAAGTTTCGGAAGAATAGAAGGAAAAACAGTTTTTATACACAAAAGGATATTTATGTCGTGAGAATAAAGAAAAGAAAGGATGTTCGATGACAGGATAGAGAGAAAAAAAGGATAGAAAAGGATATAAGGATGTTCCTCGTGAGTGACACTGTACCTGGATGCTTTTACGTTTGCCTCTCAAAACGAATCGCATACCACGTGGGCATTAATAGATGAGAGACACGAGTGGAAACGTAGAATTATTGGTGATGAAAGAAAGAAACGAAAGAATGTGAAAGATATAGACATAGATACAGCGTATGAATGTTTCTTGGTGTGAAAAATGACAAAACGAGGAAAAAAAAATTGACGATGTCGTAAAAGAGTAGGTCACAGTTGTTTCGAACGGAGAAAATAAAATCCACTTGCCCCAGAGGCAATTTCGGTGACCAGTCCTCGGCCGTTTCGCGTGGTGAATTTCGAACATTACTTCTTTCCCGTTACTTTTATATTTGATCGAACGAACGCGACAGCGTTTGTATCGTTGATATGTAAGAGAGAGAGAAAAAAAAAAGTACATATATATATTTCGTTCTAGGTATCCTCCGTATACGTGTGTACCAAGAGAATAATTTTTAGACTTTTGAGAATCAATCTGGAAAACGTTTTAGGAATCAACATTTTCGTTTCCAATCAATATAAAAACAAAAATGACGTCTCTCTTTTTGGTCGTCGTTCAAACAACAATGTCACTTTGACTTTGTCACTTTCTACCTTGCAAACGATATTTGCATCGATGATAAAATGCGAGACTAGCGTGGTGTGTCCTCTGTTCCATTTATTTAATTCTTTTTTTATCTGTGTGTGTGCTTTTTTTCTATTGTCTTGTTCCTTTTTCTTTTTCTGGCCCTTTCAAAAGAGAACGAAACTCTTTCTATTCTAATTTATTTATGTTCTACGCACAACAATCAAATATAATTCGTTTCTATTATATAATTATATTCATACTACATATTAACGTCACACGTCGTTTGACCCATTAGATACGATATATCGATTTTCTGTAAACTCTCGGCGATATACATATTTTGTGTTACAACAAACGGCTGTAATATGTCGTTGACTAAATTTGTTCATCTAACTAAATACAATTCAATTAACCAAGCGCTAAATTGAATAGAACATCAAAATATATATATATCAAAATCATCTATCGTCTATTTCATATTATATTTTACTTCCGTTTACCGTTAGATAATAGAATCTGATCGCTCGAATGGATCGGATACTAAGTAAGCATTAAACGGTATAGTCATTTTTTCTTATCTTCCGCTTGTGAATTTGTATCATCGATCAAAGGCTTGCGTGCGTTTATATGTACATGTATGTTCGCTATATTCTCGAGGAAATTGTCTTCATATTTTGCAAACGTTAGCCAATACCCAAAGTCGATCGCAACAACACCTGCGTCTCGATAAGCGTTCACTTAAAGGACTAAGTTGTTTGTCGCTCGATTAACGATGTCGGCCAACTAAACTTCGATTTAACACCACAAATTTGTGCTAAGTATATATATGTGTTGGTATATACGTATCTATGTATGTATGTAAATACGTTGGTAGTACCTGTAGATATATACGCGGAACATATTTCTCTTTCGATGTAATCGCCGATTAACGATCGTTCCTGAAGCACGATTTTAAACGTTAGTTTTTAAATAATGTTACGTTAGAAAGAGACAAATAAGATAATACGTAAATATCTAAACACGATATTTACTTAAAAAAATATAAGCAAATTTAAAGATTTGTAGATAAGACTCATACCATTCTTATTTTACAACAATTTCTACATTAACATAGGATCCTTGTTGTATATATTTCGAAAAGGTGTTAATTTTATTTCCAAATTATTCCAAAAATGATGATCATTTCATACATTTTATATTCATATGCAAATAATTTAACTCTCTTTAATGTATATGATTAAGGACATGTATTGAAATACCTAAACGTTGATGTAACTTCTTGACCCAAATTCGATACTTGCTTTAGAAGGAATGACGGAACCATGAATACTCTGCATTCATAAGATTGTACTCCATGTGCCAATTCCTATTAATGTATCGTACTTAAAATTAACATTATCGTATATCATAGATAAAATGAAATAGATAAAAACTTACCTTAAAAAACTTATTTCTTATTTTAAACAAGCATAACTTACATATCTGAAAATTCAAATAAATATAAACTAATATTCAGACCAGATAAGAAATCAAATAGTACGAAAAACAAAGTGTTAATTATTAGTATGGAAAATAATATGTGAACTATGAAAGTGCATTCTGTGTGAAGGCGCAGAAAATACAAAAAAAAAAAAAGAAAAAAAACAGAAATACACGAGTTAAATGTTATAATACAGTACAGTATAGTATAGCACATATCTATACCAATGTACATTAAATACACGCAACGAATAGTTTTACACGTGCAACAGAGCGTCTCCTCTTAGATCCGTTACTCAAAACGAAGTAAGTATATACAAATACGTGCACGGTTCTTGTTCACCTTGTCCCGTCCACCGGTAGCACCCAATAGCGACGTAATAACCTATCATGTCGTACTCCACGCGTGAAGAAAAAGAGAAAGAAAATCCAAGAAAGTAGAGAGAATGAGAGCCAAGATAAGAGAAATCCATAAGCGGGGATAAACTTCTAATAATGGCGTGCACGCGTCCTAGTAATTGTGAGATTGAAACGATCGGCAGACCATTAAAGAAATTACCATAACTCAAACGGCACATGTTTAATTACTTATAGACTTGCATATTATCCTAGAGATTAACAATCTATCGCTTATTCTTTATTAGATAATCTCACAACCATTTAATATATCATAGAATTCGAATCTTGATAGAGGAGGATTGAAAAGTTTTCATATATGGGCGCCAAATTTTTGTATATTTTAAATCGATTTCAAATTCTATCATAAAGATTGGTTGAAATTCATTGAAAATTATTGTGTTAAATTAGAATCGATTTTTTTTTTATATCGCGACGTTTAAATACTGAAATAAGGAAAGCGGGAGAGGAAGGAAATATCCTAAATGCGAATAATTTGAGATGGTATAAAAAAAGAAATAAAAGAGATAAACAAATCTAAGTATGTATTGTAACGTGAAATAAAGTAAATAACGTCGAAACATTTTTATGGGTCGAACGTAAAAGCTTTCGAGATTCAATTGAAAGTTCAAAAAGAATTTCATCATCAAATATACAATTTGAAAGTGGAACGAGAATGTTCCGAGAGAGCCGGGTTAAAGGAAATTACATAAATATTCATAAGGTGGTTCAAAACAAAGCCTGGGAAATAATTTGCTTATCTTATTTACTTTATTTTCTTTCCTCGATCATCGTAGGTTAAAGTAATCGTTGCTCAAGATTACGAGATTTCTGAGATTCAATGCAGTGGGGCTGGTTCAGCAGCCGATCTTCTCACTGCAAAAATCAGAAGACCGATCGGCTTCAGAGGAGCTCCGCTATTTGCCGACGATAGATCGGCCAATCCTCTCATCGACATTCATTGCCAGATTAGACCGGATCCTAATGATCCTCAAGAAGACAACTACTTTCTTAAAGTAACGGATTTCTCACGATGCGGTGTCCTCAAAAGAAACGTAAGTCGACCTGAAAAAAATTCAAAGAAGGATAAAGATTTCAATAAATATTTGTATTTATTGGAATTAAATAAACGAACGTTTAATAATAATTTTAAACTATAAACAAGCGTGTAAAGAAATTTAATTCATTAGATTCGAATACTTTCTGAAGTCATATTAATTATTTATTGAGAGAATTAACAATATAACAGACAGAAAGAATATTCTATATGTAATATAAATAAACTAGAGCTATTTTTTTTTTTTTTTGATTGATTACAAGCATAGAAGACGAATAAAATTTGAATGAAATATTATATTGAACGCAGTAATAATTACAGATACTTATACGTGCATCTATCTCTATTCAGAAAAAAATATATAATTCTCCTAATTTTCTATATTACAGAAAAATTGTAAAATTAAAATTTTTTAAATATTAACGATTTTAGAAATAGAGAAAGAAATTTAATAAAATACTAGTAATTTTTCTCGTTGAAAAATATAAAATTATAAATAGAAAAATATAAGATAATCGTAATTAATCCCGTCAAAGTGCGTTTTTCTCTTTCTTTCTTCCTCGCTCTCTTTCAAAGGATTTGCTCTTGTGCTTTGATGCAAAATGTCGACTGAAAAAAATTGTTCGTTTTATCTTGATATCTAACGTCGGAAATTATGGTTTTTATTACAGTTATACGTAAAGTATTATAATTAAACATATCTAATAATTAAAAAGATCAAATACTTCATACTTATGAGAAAGAATATTTTATGTATAAATTAATGAATATAAAGTTATTATAATATATCGTAAATATAAGTATTTTAGTTATTCGGTTATTTTTCCCTTAGGGATTTATTCACTTACGGATATGGTTTCCGGCATTCCCTGGAGTCGTAATGCTAGCCGATCAAGAATTGATCCTCATGTGTCGTCCACCTGAGCCCACATTGCTTAGGCACAAAGCTGCCGGTTTTGCTGGTACCTTGTAAGTTAACAACGTCAGTTCATGACATCCTCTTCTCTATTGTTGAATTATTAATTATGCTTTATCTGCTAATGTTTCGGCTATCTAATTGATTCATAGACCGTAATTAAAGACAGAATAATACTATCCAAATCAATAATAATTAAGATACCGAAATATATATGTTGAGAAGAATATAAAACACATTACAAAAAGGAAATGAAACTTCTATGTATAACTGCTTGCAAATAATCGAAACATTAGTATTATGTAGCTACCTGATTATGAAACATTCATTATAAATAAATTATTAATACAATTGCTAATACGTACGAATATAAACTTATAAGTATAAATATATTATAAGGAAGAGCATAAAGCTTCATTAACTTGGTAATTAAACACGAATGCGTGACGTCATTAAATTGCATACTATAACGAACTTGCAACAAATACATAATTACGATTGTTAGCACATAACAGGATAAATAAAATATTGCATTTCTCAGTGAAAATAATTCTTGAATATAATGCCTTAATATCTTGTTAATCGTAATTAATCGACAATACATTATAGAATTACGCGAATTTACCGCGAGAATGATTCATTAACAATGGTATTAGTATTTTAGGATAATTTACCGAAATGCTTTAGTTCGATAAATTGATGAAATCTATTAACGACGTTCAAATGTATTAAGTAGTAAAAGTAATAAATCAACTAAATAATTTGGTGCATGAAAATTTTGCTAGAAAAATAATGTTCGATGATTGTTTTAGTCCACATGGTGCTAGAGTATCCGGTGTAGTAGAGGAGACACCAGGTCGTCTAGAATACGAAGTCGCTCTTTATCGCGAAGCTACAGGTAATCTATCAGAATCTAGCGGATCCCAAACTGTCGATCAGGCGGTACCAATAGGCACAAAACTTCAGCTAAGAGCTCGTATCAGCCCTGACAGTGCTTGGGGTTACATCAAACTTTTGGAAGTAACGGTCAGTCCTGATCCCGATCAACCGCATGCTTCAGGAAGCGTTATCCTTGTTAAGGATGGATGTAGAAATCGAGATTTTGCCTCGATCATTCCCCATCAACCGGCAAGGTATCGTGAAAGAAAAAACGAGGTATTTTTGGATTTCGAAGCATTTTTGCTTAGTTCTATGCGAGAACGTTCTACATTGTGGATACATTCGCAAATAAAAGCTTGTATGGAACCACAAGATTGTCAACCGGTGAGAATATTTCTTCTTTTTTATTTATTTATAATTCTTTAAGTATAGAGCATCGACGTTGTTTATTAAGTTGTTTATGCAAACGAATTATATGGACACAAAACGTGTCCGATATTTCAATTGAGCATTGAGCAAATTTTTTTTGACAAAATGTAAAAAATATCTAAAGAGACATATCTAACAAAGTAAATGTTTAATATACGTATTGAAGATCGTATTAAGAAAGAAAAAATAGTGAAAAGACTTTAATGTTCTTCTTAGGATTTCTGTCTGGACCTTTTCGAGCCGTCGGGTCATGGCAAACGAAAAAAACGAAATATCAACGAAGAAATCAACGGAGAATTCTTGCCTAAAGTTGAACGTCTCATCAAAAGTTACAATGACTCAACGCCTTTTACAAAATTCAAGGAAAACATTGAATATACCGTCATGATGCCAGATGGTATAAAACGTTCAATATCGTATATCAGAATAACAACTATATAAACAAATTTAATGAACAATTAACTTTTTGCCAATGTAATTAATGAAGTCATTTATCTGCAGATATTTACAACAAAGTTGCAACCGGTCTGGAAGGTAGTTGCGGTGGTTTTTTTTATGTGGCAACTGGTTTAGGTGTATTATTGGTCCTATCGGCCTTTATTATGTGTTATTTGGCCTCTCGTCTGCATAATTTATCTTCATCTATCTCACAAAATAAGTCCATCGATGAGTTGGTACGAGATAGAGCGAGAAAATACTGTGACACAACGTCAAGATACACTGGACGATCTACCGTACAATAATATGTATAAATCGATTTATTTGCATTCAATAACGTTTAAAAGCAAAACAGAAAAAAATAAGCATGACGTGAAAACGTTTAAAATCGAACGATGAACACTTAACATTTGATTAGTAGCTATATATGTATTTATGCTCGATATATGTGTATTTACTATCCAATTAATTTATTCATTCTATAGATTATATATTTTTCACATATATTGTTGATATTTATTATAATATTTTATAAATATTAAATGTTCATCACACAGTAGTTAGATACGATTGATACTTTCTTTATAGATGAGATAATAGTTTATTAAAACACATTATAAATGTGTTTATATGATACGACTGATAATACTTTATATAATTTTATTAAGTATTATTCTAATGCGCGTAATATTTAATACCAAGGATCTTAGGAATTCTTAGATTTAAGTTAAATTGTAAAGAGAGCTTGACTCGAATCGAAAAGAGCATAGAAAGATATTTTATATCTCATAAAGCGCTCTATCTATTCTCTTCTTCCTGCATACATTCTGAATATTCCTAAATATGCCCTTGTGCAATGCTATCACGTGACCTGATAATGCGAACGCAATTGTCGATCGTTCATACTTACATAACGATCGTAGTATTTAAGTATTCGCAAAAGTGCATCTCGTGAGTAAAATGCACACAAATATTGAGTTGGTTAAAGGTTAAAATAAAATACTTTACACTTTGTAAATAAATCTGCACGATTAATGTATTAGTTTGGAGTTAAATTAATTTGATAAATAAAAACAGAAAAGTTGGAATACAAAGCGGCCGTGTTGTATGGACGTGTAAATTTTTTACCAATTTGAAAAATCATACAAACGTTTAAAAATTTAACGAAGACAATATTGAAATGATTGTACGTACGGTCGCATATGTTTGATATATTTATTATAAAATAAAACAAGGTTAATCAAATATCCTTGCATTACATTTCGTTTAGTGATAACGACGTTTTTCCCATAAAATTACGCTGTACAATATGACGATATCGTTACAATGTTGTAAATTACGACAATTCGACACGATACCTCTTACAATACCTCGTAATAACGAACAGCTGTGAAAGTTAGTTTTTTTTCTTTCTTTCTTTCTTTCTTTCTTTCTTTCTTTCTTATTTTATTTTATGTTATGTTATTTCTTTTCATTTTTCTATATATCTTATATACCTGCTTTTTTTTATAACTAAATGATTGTTCAAGTTCAACAATTATTTCGTGCGCTATTTTATGCTAATTGAATCTACACAATCTTTGCAACGACGAGACGAGATATGTATTTTCGGCCCTGTATGTCTTTGGTTTACATAATTTCTCGAACGGACCCACAAAGCATAATATATTGAACCAACATAGGTTCAAAGCTTTATCTTAAGTAGGAAATCAATACAATAATGTATCATTACACATAGTACTTGATATCCATACTTTATGAAGAAAAATAATATTCGAAGGCACACATGTCGTGCAAAAATTCTAACTAAAAGTTATTATTCGTTCTTTGTTTTTAAATACATTATTAAATGTTTTCCTGTTTCCGTAATAAATATAATTATCACAGGAAGTACTTGTGATGCATACTATCTTTTCTTTTTCTTTTTTACATATACAACTACATGCCCTTATACATCATGTGAAGCCTTTTTTTATAATAAAAATTTTAATTGGCAATTAATCCATTGATTAATAATATCAACCTAAGGTGTATGTATATATATATATATATATAATGAAAAATATAAATATAGTTATAAATATTAAATAAAATAGTGTAAAAAATTAAATTGAAAATGTGCTCATATTATTATATATATATGAAATAGAGAAATTATAAGCGTATTGCACTCGCCCTAAAGATACTATTTTTCTCTCTTTGCTTTATCGATGTATAGAGACACATTTAGCGATCCTATAAATTTGCATCATTATGATTTGTAATATTAACAATTGTCACACACTTATTTTACATCCTTTGGCTTAATATCATTGTTCTATCTTTGTATAGGCCCATAAAGCTTAACTTGATAACCTTCTAGTTTAATTAGATTGCAAGAAAATAAAAGTAAAAAACACATCCACAACTAAAATGAATAGTTGTTTTACGCGGATTGTAAATCAAACGAATTTATATACATTATATATAGTTTCTTTTATAAATATCAATTTAAATTCTTATTTCAACGTGTATTGAATAGAAAAAAAATGTAGGACATTCTCTTAACTGCATACTCGTTTTGCACTAACAAAATATAAACTAGTATTTTAGTGGTCACAAATAAATTTGCATGTATCTTACTACGTATTTATACTAAAATTATTGTGCAATTAACAGTAAAATTATAAATAATATAATTGATAAAGTATTTCACTTAATTGTAAGACACTGCTTACACATGGCAACTGTACATGACATTAAATGTTCTGTGTACTTTTATATATATATATATAAATCATATGATAAATAGATACTCTTTAAATAAACGGAAAATTAATAACATATCATCACTCGATTTTTACGAATTTTCGTTTTGTTTAAAAGAAAATGTAATTTTAGTTTTTTGTCCAGTCTTTAAAAATCATGAAATTACACTTCTATGTTCTATATCTTCTCTATTAGGTCATTAAGTATGAAATGTCTGATTTTTAACTGGAAGTAGTAGGAATAATCGGAGGTTTCATACTGAATGAACTAATAGATTGAATAAATTAATATAATCCAAGACTGTATGTATTTACAAATTAATTCTATAAAATTGGTTATCACGTATAGTAATTATGCAAAAATTTATTATGCAGTCCTTCCATTTTTTTGAGACTTCATAAAAGCTTCATAAGCTGCAAGCTCCTTCTTTTCCTTCTTTAAGTTTCTGTCTTCAAATTCCAACCTGTAATTCATCACTTAATCAACGCGTATACAATTTTCTTTAAATGCTGGGATATGCAAATATAATAGTCAATTAAATTCAATAATCTGTTAAAATCCTTTGACACATAAGTAACTAATATGCAAACTTTTACAAATTAGTTATATATATTATATAAATGTTAACTATTTACATATTACTATATATTAGTACATTGTATATCATTTAAATCAATGTGTATACATTACTCAAAATAATATTTTATTTTAAATGTTTATGTATTATTATTTATATTATAGTTAAACATTTTTCTTAATATTCTCTAAAAAACTTTACCAGATTAATGAACTTTAAATAATATTATTCTATAAAAAAAAAAGACCGTATTACAAATAAAAAAGTGGAATTAATGCTTGCATAAGATTGCATATCCCACTATAAAAAGCATGAATACATGAATGAGATTGAACAAAGTAAAAAAGTATAATTAAAATTACAAAATATTCATCATTAATCTTAAAATGTTATGAAAATTTTTGTATACAAATTATATGTTTTGCATTATGCACAAGAAAATATTTTGCAATCATGTTTGATCAAAGAGACACGTCATATAGCTATTAACTATCATTATTTGCAACATCTTATCTAAGCAATTATTTTTGTTTTACTTATATTTAGAAACAACTAAGAATTAAAGCAGATAGCTTATCATTTGTAAGTTCATGTTATTAAAATGTCTGTTTTCTTCAATATAGTTAATTTTAGCTATGTTTTTATATTCGCAACGTCCTATATATTCAACGTATAAGTTACAATAAAAGAACAACATACCTATGTAGAATTATTCTTTCAACAATTTTTTCGGTGGTCATATCATTGCCACTATCCAATAACTTAAATTTATTTTGTCTTTTCGGTTCTTCGTAAGGATCCGAGCCATCTTCACATGGCATTATTGATGTCTGTCCGTGACACACAACAGAAACATTAAAGTGTTCCATAAGATCTTTGGTAACCTCGTATGGAGCACCAATTACAACTTCATTCACATACTAGATATGCAACAAAATTTAATTTCTTCATTTAAAATATATACATTAAGGTATTTATATGACTTAAACAAAAATATCCTTCACATTTACCTAACAAATTGCAATAAAGATTATAGGGAAATTTTGCTTCATTTTATCTTTCTCCAAGTACTTAAGTGAATATATTTCCAATCAGAACGATCTTATGAAAAACAAATATAGTTTTTATTTTAAATAAATAACTCACCTTACATGCTAGTACACTGAGAACACGTTCATGTAGATTCATAATTGGATGATTACCACATTTGTAACGGTTAACAGCTGGATCTGTATGGAGACCAACAATTAGATAGTCACCTTCTTTCTTTGCAACTTCTAAGAAGTCTAAATGTCCAACATGAAATAAATCAAATGCTCCAGCAACATAAACAATTTTATCATCAGGCTGGGGACTTTTGCCATCGCTAAATTGTATAATTTTTTGAGTAGTGGGAAGAAACTGAGAACAACCAGTCCATGGGCTTTGCGCTGTACGATCTTGGCCCATACTTTTGCTAGGTTCTCTGTCAACCGTATATTCGCTATCTCCTTGCTTAAAATGTTGACGTGTCATTAAGAGCATACGCCCTACAAGATCAGTAGTTGAAACTCCTGCCGTTCTTTGAACTTCCCTGTAATAATTATATTTTGTATTAATACAAATAACATATCTTTTTAATAAAAAATACTTTTCTTTGTTTGATATTGTCATACCTATAACGACCAGCTGCTTTAACTAAATGATAAGTATCTATTCCATCTGCAGTCATTGTTATGTCATCGCCATGTACACAAAAATCACAATTGTATTTATCTAACGTTTCTAATGTAGTAACATAAGGAGCACCTTCAACAACTTCATCTACCCATTTTATACCGCGAACCATTTTGTATCTGAAATAAAGCAGAGAGAAATGTTGTTTAAAGCATACCTATATTTCACATAAAAACAAAATAGAATTAGAATACACAGAATACGTATAAATAATATTTTATATTATTTTAATAAAGTAAAAAATATAAAAACTACCTTTCTTGTTGCGTAAAAACTGGAGGACCTTTATGCTTAGTAATTTCTGCATCTGTATGAACACCAACCACTAAATAATTTCCTAATGCTTTAGCCTGCCTCAATGAATTAGCGTGTCCAAAATGTACCATATCATAACTAAAATATAAAATAACATATTTCAATAATCATGAAATTATAAAAAGTGAAAGATCGATGTTAAGAATATAGCACATAGGAATAAACGGAATAGTTTGAAACTTGAACATTTCCAAGGATCGTGAATTTACTCCAAAACATACACATACATTCTATTCAAATGATTAATTAATCAAGTTGTAGTATTGATCGACAGTCTTTCTTACAATCACAGAGAGACAGCTAGTCTCTTATCTTTCGACATAACATTTTCTAGACCACGTATTGAATCATGATATGTAGGAAAATTGATCCTTTCCCGACACAAGCAAAAAGAAGGAAGGAACAGTACGATATAAGTTTAATAGGGCACGAGTGAAAGATATATATATATATATTTTTTTTCACAGCACCACTTATCCTCTTTTTTTTCTATATCACCTGTCAAGTTCGCGCGTTAAACACGTGAAAATCGAAAGGTAAATGATATCGCACTAATACATTTCATTCATAAACTCACCACCCATCGCACCAAACTCGAACTTCTTTTCGAGATTCTGTCATGTTAATCGAAAGAAAAAAATACGACACACGTGTGAAACAGCCTAGAAATGTTTTTTCTTTTCGTTTTTTTCTTTTTTTTTTTTTTGGTTGTTTTTTTTTTCTAATCACTTTATTTAATATGTTTTACGTGAGTAATGATAAAGATTGTACGAAACATGTAGAAGAACTCTTTGAAGCGTACTGCGCGCGACACCGGCGTTGCACATCTTTTTATTAATCGAGCACCACTCGTTCCTCCCCACTATTTTACCCTTCGCTCGTTCACAGTCACCTAAAATGACGCCATCGAGTTAGAACTTAAAGTTACTCGCGTGAGTAAGACATATTATAATACCGATATTATAATGATTATTTTTTATCAAAGACATTTTATTAGAGCCAGCAACTTTATCTAAGAGAATATTAACATTCCGATTGATTTGCAATTCTGAATGCTTAAACAGGCATTACACAAGCATGAGTTGCAATACTAATCGTCAAAAGATATTGATCGTCTTGTTATTCGATGTGAAACCGCGAAATGAATTAATTAATAAAGTAGAATCATTTAAATTTATTCTTTCATTTATATCTTTGCTTTTCTTTTAATTACAAGAAAAAATAAAATATTCAATTTATTAAATATAAAATCAAATATAAAATCGATCTAATTATCAATTAATTAGACAAATTAAAAAACTAAAAATATATCAATGTTTTTTTAAAAAATATTACGAGTAAATTTTAACACTTTCATTCTATTTTATTATAAGAGTTTTTGTTAATCGCTTGACATCCGCTCACAGGAAATTGTGGAATTCTACTCTACTATGTTTTATTCACATATATATTAAACGAAATATTTATAAAAATGTAAAAAGATTTTTTTTCAATTTATCTAAACAGGCAATATAATATATATTATAAATACCGATACTGGAATTTTCAGCAATTGAGGTTTAACCAACGCTTGCAATGTGTTAAGATCGTTAGCGTATATTTTATAATAAATATAATCGATTTTCTTCATAATTCTTCTCACATTATACGGTAGTTATTTCCAAGGCTAGTTGATAAAGACCAATTAAATAATCTTTTATACAATTATATTCTTTACATACAAAACTGATTGGCACAAAATTTCCGCTTATATCTCATTGATAAGTTCACATACTTAAATACTGCATAACAGTTATTTATACGAACATTTTAACTCTTTATGTATTGAATTATATTCTAGATAATCATTTAAAAAATTATGATAAAGATTAATTTAAAAAGTCGCTTAGTGGATTGTATATTAAAAAACAACAAGAAATATATTTGAAAATATTCCTCACATTAAATTTAGTGTCATCTATTGTATATATTTGTTAATTATAAAACTTCTGTTGATACATAAAAAGTTAAAACAAAAGTATCTGTTATGCCATCTTCATTGATTTATATCAATACGATACAGTGTAAGATTATTGTCCAAATAACGAAATAAACTCTGACCTAAACACATGATGTTTAATCGACCAATGAATGATTAGAGAATCTTATTTTATAGATCTGTCAGACGAAGATTATATAAATTCTTATCTTAAATCATAATAAAGATAATTTTTTTTTGTAGAAACGGCAAGATAACGTAATTATCTCCTACTGATAACTTTATAAATCAACGCTTTATAACTTATTTCCATGTGATTATTTAATTATTTTTATATTGTGTCATTGTCATCAATGATTTTAGCAAACATACCATCATTTTAATTTTATATTTATGTATTACATACAAAATTAGAATGTGTTACTTAATATAAAAACTATTAATATTTAAAGACTATACACTGCGTATCATTTAAGATTAATATTATTAATTTCTATATAAAATATTATATATATTGTGTACAGGTTTTAAACAAAGCATGACGTCATACGATTGTGTGTATTTACGTACTACATTTGTTTCCCCATTCACAATGAGAAGCGCGTATGGAAAATATTATTTTCTATATTAGAAAGTGTAGTTCTCTTTTTATTCTCCTTACTTCCTATATTACATAAATAAAATTTTATTCTGGAATAATCTATATCGATGTTAATAACCATTCTGTTGTCTGTAACTGCTTCCACCACCACCTCCACCATATGCACCACCATTTTGACTATAACTAGAGCCACTACCACTGGAAGTTCCTCCAAAGTTACTCTGAGGAAATGATTTACTGCCATAACCACCTCCTCCCATACCACCTAAACAAGAAATTAATATTTCGCTAATAAATAAACAAATTTAAAATTTATACGATATATTCTTATCTTATAAAATTGTATATTAAAGAATAAAATGTAATATTAGTGGTAAGACACATGAACTTCAAATGATCTTCATCAAATCTAATTTTTTTATATAGTATATTATATATATTCATAATTAGTGTAAAACAAAATAAGTATATAGCAATTATTTTAAATCACTTACCGCTATTACTTCCACCCCATTTATTTCCACGATCGCTTCCACCACCACCGCCACTGCCACTACCACCACTACGATCAAATCTCCCACTTCTGTCACCTCCATCACGCCCACCACCACGTGATCCTCGTGAACCACCTCCACCACGGCCACCGGATCCTCGGCTACCATTTCCGCCATTACGACCACTGTAACGACCACCTAGACAGAAATATAAAATTAAATTATGAAATGATAAAAATAAAAATAATAAATATCAAATAATATATAATTACGTTTATAAATGCCGGGATTTCTCGAAAGTTCATAAAGTTTAGGATTAACAACTTGCTTTGCTTCTTCTAACACTTGAATTAGGTCGCTAGCTTTATGCGCATTTCCAGGTGTAAAAAAAGCATACGCAGTTCCTGTTCGTTGCGATCGTCCCGTACGTCCAATACGATGTACATAGTCTTCAGAGTTGGATGGATAATCCAAGTTTATCACAAATTTGACATCTTCCACATCTACACAACAGTTAACATTATTATCAAGGAAAATAAAAAATACTTGATTCTTTGTGGTGGGTAATTAACTTACAAAGCGAACTAATTAAAGCTGCGATATATTTCCTTGCAAATAGAATTGAAATTGAAGCTTATCTTAATGGAAGCAGGAAAATTTTTGGTAAGAATTGTGGTAGGAAATGAATATTAATTATGCTAAACGCAAAATGAATGTAATGTAATGCCTTACAATAGATTCAGACAGCAAGAAAAGTCAATATTGATTGATCAATAATAAATCCTATTTGCAAGGTACACTAGTAACATAAATAAATTGACCACAAAGAGCAAGTGTACATATTATTTACCTGTTTGCGTCTAAAGCTGGAAATGTAAATACATTTTTGGAAATGTAGAGGAATCAGAGCTCAGATGGTTCTCATAGAATTCTCGCTTAATGAGTGAGCGAGCTCTACATTTATTCTTAGTAACTTCACACCCTTCTCTCCCGCACCAAAGTATGGATCTGTGCTGGTCTTTGAAAATTTGGTCCTTGTGCATTGCTTCGGTAAAGTTTGAACATTGGATGAGCACCATATGCGCACTCCACTCAATTCCATGTATACTCCATTGCATGTTTAGCATCAAGGATTTCTTTTTGTTATTTGCTGAAGTTTTATAAAACTATTACCAACTGCACGGAGGATCATAATTTATCGATTTACGTACGACTGATTTTCTTCAATCTAACTAATCATTTTTCTAACTTATTTACTAACAAATCCTAACACTGCTTCAAACTTGTTAAGTATTTTAAGCAGCTTGAGATAATACAACTGAAACAAATCTTAGGAAACGAAATACATTATATAAATGAATATTTTTGAATTAATATCAAAGCATTAATTCTGCAAATATTAAGATACAACTCAATACTATATTTCACTACTTTAGCCTAACATGTCAATATCTATCCAGATTAATTGCCATATATATATATTTATTATAGATTCCCTAATATTATTACTTCCATACTTTGGACCATCGCAGGTACAGAGTGAGAGTGTGTTTTTTCAAGTGGCACGGCCGAGGCACAGCGCTAGTTTAGCTTGTTGCGAGGGGGCGAAGACCAGCAGTCACGCCCCATTCAATTTTATATTCCAAAGCAAACTCTCCAGAGTTCTTATCATTGATAAAACTCCGTCGCATGTGCCTCTGAAAACACATAGAGCAGCACGTTAATACCAGACTGACAAGACTTGTCTCAATCATAGCAAAATCGAAAAACAAACGTTTCTATCTTTTCTTACCTGCTTATTTTCAACCTTGCCTAAAATATTTTAACATACTTTACACTTTGATAAATTCTTAAACTCTACAAATATAGCAAATCATTTTATAATGTGCGATTTGATCAAAAATGATAAAGTATGTCAAAATCTACCGAAACTAATAATTAAATCGAAGAAACAAGTTAAAAATGATTACTCCTTTCTCACAGCCTTATGTCTAAAAATATCATGTTGGTAACATCTATTTGTACTAGTAAAAATTTTTAAATGTATCATTGAACCTTCTGAATGCGTAAGAGAAATTAAATATAAAATTAGCTAAATAAATATAAATTCTAAATTATTAAATACCCTGCTTCGTGTGATATGCCTAAACAATCTTAAAGTTATCTCCATCCACACTGCTTAGGGACTAACGTCAATCAGTCTGGCACATGCCGTTATCCGTTGCCACATCACAATATTAAGACTCTCACAACCGTGAAATAACCATCGCAGCTTGACCCTTACATCATACCCACACTTGCTAAAACAGAATCTTACCTAAACCTCTTGCTGCAACGTCCGTAGCAACTAGTATTGCAGATCTGCTATTCCGGAATTCTGAAATAAATCATTTTTTAATAAAATATGATAAAATATGATATATTACTAATAATACGTTTAAATATAACTTATATATATAATTTATTTAAAAATTTGTATTATAATTAAAAACTATATCTTACGATTTAATACATAATCTCTTTCTTGTTGACTCTTATCTCCATGGATGCCAATTGCTTGCCATCCGTATCTATTAATAGCTCGTGTAATGTCATCCACTTTTCTTTTTGTTTCAACAAAAATTATAGTTTTATTTTCTGGTTCATTAGAAATCTCTTCCAGGAGTTTCATTAATTTACTTTCCTTTTCATATTCTTCACATACATCCACTATTTGAAGGATATTATGATTAGCTGCTAATTGTAAGGAGCCAATATTAATTTGTATATAATCAGTTAAAAATTCTTCAGCCAAATTACGAACTTCCTTTGGCCACGTTGCTGACCACATAAGTGTTTGCCTATCTGGTCGTATTTGTTCTACAATTTTTCTGATTTGGGGTTCGAAGCCCATATCGAGCATTCTGTCTGCTTCATCTAATACCAAATATGTACATCTACGAAGATTTGTGGTACCACGTTCCAAAAAATCTATGAGACGACCAGGGGTTGCTATACAAATTTCAACTCCTCTTTCCAGATCTCGTGCCTGTGGACCTTTAGGTGCCCCACCAAAAATGCAAGTATTCCTAACCTGTGAAGAAACCCCAAAGTCTGATGCTACTTGTTGTATTTGCTGTGCAAGTTCTCTTGTAGGTGCCAAGATAAGAGCTATAGGACCATCGTTTCTACTTAATCTAGGTTGATGATTGATATGTACGATAGCTGGCAAAATATAAGCTAGTGTTTTCCCAGATCCTGTTTGTGCTATTCCAACCATATCACGTCCAGACAAAGCAATAGGCCAACCTTGCGCTTGTATAGCTGTTGGTTCTCCAAAACCTTGCCTGCGTATTTCATTTAAAACATAATCTGGAAAACCACCCTCTTCAAAATAAATGTTGGGTCCAGGGACATTAGATCCTTTCACTGTAATCTCTTTGTCTGAACGATAAGCTTCTACTGTATGAAGACTTCTTGTTGTAACATTAGGATGAGGTTGATAAAAGTCTTTCCTAAATGGTTGCAAAGTGCTCATATCCCATCTAGGTTTACGTAACCGTTCTCCAGGTTGACGATTTTTAAAATTATTATTCCCAAAACTGTTACTGTCTCTATTCGTACTACTTCCAAATCTTCCACCACTACCACCACTGCCTCCATCTCGTCCACCAAAACGTCCTCCTCGAGAACCACCTCCGCCTCTCCTGTCACCACGTTCACGATCGCGGTATGCCCTGTAATATCATTATAAACTTAAATAAAGAAAACAAGGTGTAAGTTAAAGAAAATATTCCATTTAGAACAATAAAGAAAAATTTCAATTAAATACTTAATGTGTATAAAGTATTAATCAGTTTTTCTACTAAAAACAAATTCAATTTATTTAAAAAAATATTTTACTTAATTACATAACTTCTTATAGAAACAAAAACAATAAAACTAATTATAGCAAAAATTAACAAGTAATAGTATTCCAATGGAATATTGATTGTTACAGTAATAATCATAAATGTATGAAAGATTAATAAATAAATTTAATTATAATTTTATTATTATTTTTATTATATAAATAAAAATATTTTGTTGTGTCAGGGTTGCATTAGGGTTTATTTGTATAAATTGGAATATAAGTGATATGAGTAAAGTAACTCTTTGTTAGAACCAATTAACGTCATATGTAAGATATTTTGTAATGATGCTATGCTAACAAAAAATATTATTACATATTGTAAACTAATTAAGTAAACATATGTATACGTAAGTTCTTTATTTTTGTAATAACATATTTAATATAAAATTTATATATAAAAAAAAACGTTGTTATGAAAATATAAAGTAAATTTAATATTTGTAACGTTTCATTCATAAAAAGGAGAAGAAAACTTTGACGTACAGCCAACATGGAGAATAACCAAAACGTAGAATAATTGGCTAATGAAAAAAGAATTTTCTACATTTTCCAAGAATTTCTAAATATTTATTTTGTAATATAATACAACTTACATCGTCATAAAGAAACTTGGTAGTCCTAAAGCAGATTTTCCAAAAATTCTTCGAAAAAGATAACGTATTAAGATTAATTAGAGTTTTCCTTAATGTTCGACCCTAAAGGAACTCACGAATGATCATCATGATGACGTACATACGCAGCAAGAAATAGTTCCTGTTTTATTCAGCACATTATAGAAAGTAAAAACAAATTAATATTTTACATCACTTTTATATTTATTATAATCTGCAACTTTTTCCTTTATCTGCTTATTAATACATTCTATTAAAATTCTTAAATATGTGACTGAATAATGTACGAACACAATGCACCGGAAGTCTCCAGCGGTAATAAAGGAAGGAAAATGTAGCTATCAAGCAGTATGATTTGTTACTTTAACTTTCCCGCGTATGCGCGGATACTTCCTCTGCTTTTCAAATTAAACATGTTTCATATAAATTACTTTTGTTGTATTCTTGAATAAAACAAATCAGATGTTCTATATAATTGTAGCAATATAATATTTATATTACAATTTGCTTACATATATGTAGAAAACAAAACATAATTTACTGGTATAATAAATAAAAAATAACTTTTAAATTATGAGGTAAACAATATTCAATTGTTCTGTAACTAAATAATATAAAAGATATAATTAATCTTATTATATATATAATATATATGAAAGATAACTTGAATTCTGTTAATTTTGTCTTAATAATTATTATAAATGATAAACGTATAAATAAATATTCAATAATTTATTAAGAAAAGAACTAAAACTATATTATCACAGTTACAATGACATTAACAAATTGCATTATATGAAACAACAAATGTTGAATAAAGTTCAAATTTATCACGACATGACTTTTCAATAATAACAAAAATGTGTCCTTTATATTTAAAAGTTAAAAATATTAAATTGTCTATTCATTTTTATTATTTATCGCATAAATATATGTTTATAATGTCCATATTATATATAATATTCATAATTATCATCATAGTCAACAAAAAAATTCTTTTTATAAGCAAATCTTTGTTATAAATTAATTAATTTATACAATTTATAAACTCAAACAACAAAATCTTAAACTCAATAGCAACAAAATAATAAAATTTCAGTTTACAATATAATAACATTTAGAATTTTTTCTAAACTCGTTATACTAGGTTTAAATTTAATCTATTAACAGAATAAACATTAGGCATTTACAATTTTGTAAAGGATTTAACAGCAGGTTGTTCCCTATCTATCTGCTGAAGTAGGGCGCACCATTTCCTTTGCACAAAATGTAAAGATACTTAAGTTTTCTGACCTATACTATTATTATATCCGATAATTCGTCATTTTACAATACCAACTATATCTTCTTCTTTGCTTTTTTTATATTTCCGACATATGGTATCATTTGTAATTAAAAAGTCACACAATAGGAGAATATAATAAAATATTTGACTTAGAAACATACTGTTAATTCTAGATAAATGTTTTACACATATCACATTTATCAATACCTTGCTTCCGTGCAATCTATTTTGTCTTGCTGCAAAGTATGTTTTTTTTTCTTTTTTTTTTTTATACATAAATCGAACCACATGTGCTATAGAAATATACTTTACACTTTTAATAGCATGCTATCATTAATGAGTTTAAATTGGAATTAATATGTAGCACCTCTATATTGATAATTATTTCCATAATTATCGCTATCTCCATAAACTTGAGACATATTTTGACTATAGTTTCTCTGTGTAGTATATCCATAACCAGTATTTGGACTAATTGAATTGTTTTGCTTTAAGTTATTATAATTAGTATAGTCTGATCCTGAATAACCGCTTGATCCAGATGGATAAGAACTGCTAGAACGAATACTTCCTCGTCCTCTAAGGGTACCACTACCCCGCCCTCCTCTACAATCAATATTTCCACGTCTTCCGCCAGTTCTATCTACACTTCCAGATGAACTGGAGAAACGTTTAGCACCTAAAATTTGAATATGCATACACTAATGTTATTTTAATTCAATATTTTCATATAATTAGCCTTGGAATAAATACTACAAGGTATATGTACATAAAAACACACTTCTGTTTCCAAAATTTCCTGATTTGGCCATTTCTGCCATTTCACTCAATCTTGGATTAATATTTTGTCCAGCTTCTCGTAATACTTCTATTAGATCTCCTGCATGTTTCATATTATGACTTGTAAAAAATGCATAAGCTGTTCCTGTTTGTCGTCTGCGTCCAGTACGACCAATTCTATGTATATAGTCCTCTGATGATGATGGGTAGTCAAAATTTATCACATATTTGACATCATCCACATCTGTGAAGTAGGATTAATTAAAAATAATAAAGATGGTGGCATTCATAATGAATAAATAAATATCTTCTCATATGTATAATTATAATTACGACATAAGTATTTTTTATATATATATACATATATATATATATATATGAATATATATTTTGTTTTCGTTTATTATTAGGAAAGTATAATAAAATAATAAGTCATCAAAGTAATAAAAATATACAATGATTACAACATTTATTACTTTACCTGCTCTTAATTGTACAATTAATTTTTAAGACATATTTTATTACATGTCAGTAGTAGTAGTAGTGATTTTGTAAGACTTCTTTATTTGAACTGATCATCTTATAACATATATTTTCAATACATATTATTCAGATATTAAATTATTATATAATTTTATTTATTAGTGTAATTATTTATATGTAATTATTAGTATTATATTAGAAATAAATTATATTTTTATAAAGTAATATGGAAAAACTTTTAAATAATCAGTCAATAAAAGAAGTTTGAGAATCACCCACCTTTTATCAGGTATTTCCGACGTAAAATCAGCAAGCGTAGTGCTGCTTGCTTTTTAAGTAGACCAATTTTTGTTGTTTCATTATGGAAATATATCGTTGGCCTAGAGATTAGACAGACACAGCGGTGGTGTCTGGTTTTGGGATAGAGGCAGCATTTTACGGTTTAAGCCTGAGTGCATTGAATTTATAACTTTTACATCTTAAATAATGAGAGGCACTAAGTACAAAATTTAGAAAATGTACTTGAAAATAAATTATGAAAATTATAATAATCAAAGATAGAAGATATTATGAATGTTATTTCTCAACAAAAGATTAATTACAATTCTATGATAGAAAAATGTAATTTACATATTAATTAATATAATATAAGATACTATTATGTTATAGAACATATAATACTGTTATAAAATATCGACATATAAACTATACCCTAAAGTATTAATTATGGAAAATAATAATATTTTTAGCACAAGAGTTATAATGAATATATTTTAAAATAATAAAAAATAAAATTTAGATAATCACTGTGTCTGCCCAATACTGGCAGTACACCACATTGTGTTAGGGAACTCTGTGCCTCTGAAAAAGAAAAGCAGACAGACTTAGTGGTAGCTTGTGTGTATTTTAGAGCCCCACATTTAAAAGAAATTGTTCCTTTAATATTTTATTAATTAGAAAGAAAAAAAATAATTTTTATATTTTTTTATCTTTATTTTGTATAATTAAGTTGATAAAAAATCTACTACTGATGAAATAATATATGGTTTTTAAATATATAGGGCTCTAAAATGTAGCTTAGAACAATAATCATAATGGTTCCAATGCATCACACATTGCTACACTCACAGCTGTCGGCCGGCCTTACTGCAATAACGCATCACTGGCTAATCCAATAAGTGTTGCCTATTCCCAGATGTATGCTACTTTACTATACCTATCAATGGATGATAAATTAAAGTGTACACACCTAGACCTCTTGCAGCTACGTCTGTTGCAACCAAAATCGGTGCTCGCCCGCTACGAAATTCCTGCAACACATGATCTCTTTCTTGTTGATTTTTATCACCATGAATGCTCAAAGCTTGCCATCCATCTCTTCTAATATTTCTTGTAATGTCGTCAACTTTTCGTTTAGTTTCTACGAATATTATTGTTTTGTTTTCTTTTTCAGTTCCAATTTCTTGAAGTAGCCTATATAATTTAATGTCTTTCTCAAATTCTTGACAAACATCTACAATTTGTACAATGTTATGATTGGCTGATAAAGTTAACGATCCTATATTAAGATGGGTGTAATCGGTCAGAAAATCTTCAGCCAAAGCTCGAACTTCCTTAGGCCATGTTGCAGACCACATTAACACCTGCCTGTCAGGTCGTATTTGTTCAATAATTTTACGAATTTGAGGTTCAAAGCCCATGTCTAGCATTCTATCAGCTTCATCAAGCACTAAATAAGTGCATCTGGTAAAATATCATTAGAGAAAATGTTTACTTTTAAAAAAAAAACAATACGGAAAATGAAAATTCTATAGGTGGTTACCTGCGCAAATTTGTAGTTTCTCTCTCCAAAAAGTCAATAAGTCTACCTGGTGTAGCAATGCATATTTCAACACCTCTTTCTAAATCATGAGCTTGTGGTCCTTTAGGCGCACCACCAAAAATACATGTATTTCTTACAGCCGCAGATTCACCAAAACAGTTAGCTACTTCTTGAATCTGTTGTGCAAGCTCTCTTGTCGGAGCCAATATCAATGCAATTGGACCATCTCCTTTACTTAAGCGTGGTTGATGTATAATATGCACAATTGCAGGTAAAATATACTATGAATAAAATAAAAAATATATATATTTAGTTTCCTTTATAACGTAATATTTTTTTCTTGATATTTGTAGTTAATTTAAACATACTTTAATATTTCACATCTGTAATGAACTAAAAGATTCTTTGTTTAGCTTACTCCAAGTGTTTTCCCAGAGCCAGTTTGTGCAATTGCAACAAGATCTCTCCCACTAAGTGCTATTGGCCATCCTTGTGCTTGAATTGCTGTAGGTTGTGAATATCCTTGCCTGCGAATTCCTTCCATTACATAAGGTGGAAAATTACCTTCCTCAAAATACTGAATAGGATTAGGAACATTAACTCCTTTTACAGTTATTTCAGCATTTTCACGGAATTGTGCAACTTCTTCTTTAGACCTGTTATCACAGATATTTTATAATATAAGAAATTTACTAAAATAATAATCTTGTAGTGTAATAGAACTTACCTGTTTCTGACAGCAGGATGTTCTATATAAAAATCCTTACGCAATGGTTCTAAAGAGCGAGCATCCCAATTTACTTTCCTTAAACTTCCTCCAGGTTGTTTACCCTTTAGCCCACCCCGTCCAGTACTAACACTACTTCCTCTTCCTCTGCCATTATATCGACTATTAAGATTTCCTCGACCATTGTCACTACTTCCTCTGTTACTTCCTCTACCACCACCTCCTCTACGACTTCTGCCTTGATCTCTGTCTCTGTTATACCTACATTATATATAAATATGAAATTAAGTAAGATATAAAGTCTTACCAACATTTACATTTATTTTCAACAACTTCAAATATATTATAAACATAGATCTTATAAAATGAGAGATGAGAGATTAAGGTAATAAATTAATGGTCGTGAAATGAAATTAAGATTATAATAATAATAATACTGTTAATTTGTACTAATTCAATATACACTACAATTAAGTTACTTATATTCAACTCTGTTAATAACCTGGAACTCTAGCTGTTTTAATTACTTTGAAAAGTTGTAGGAGTAACGTGGTTCTAGGAAAATTGATCATAACTGGGAGGACTCCTTGCTCTTTATAAAAACATTTGAAAAAAAAGCAAGAACAATGAATAATAATAAATTTGTGTCCTACCATGTCACCATCAGTGGAAAAAAAAGATTCTGATGTTTATTTCAACACACAAACAAACAAAAACGGTCTCTTTACTTTTAATTTTATATTTGAATTTTTCCACATCCGACAATCCTACATATTTATTAAATAATTCATGAAATAAAAATGTGACATAAAAATATTTGTTAATATAATAAAAAATAATAATCAATTTATAATGAAATAATGAAATAAGAAATAAATGATTAAGAAATAAATAATCTGTTTTCAAAATAAAAAATAAATAAATTGTATAAAGTTTACACTAGACACTAATTATTCGATATATAAAATCGGCATTTCAATTATTGATTACTGATGGCTGCATTACGGTTCTGCGACAGATTCTAGATATAACGAAAAGTGACGCAAGTCAAATATAATTCAAACATTTTATGTAAATCAAATAGAAGCTATTTTTCGAAGAATCATTTTTTTAACTGAAACTTTAATTGACATATTGTACTTACATATAGAAATCTAAAAATTTCAACGGCGGCAAGCAACAGATTAATTCACCTTTGCGGAAAGTCCCGTACAAAAGGAATCGATAAATCGCTACTACTGAATAAAGATGAAAATGAACGCTTTAATGGGCCCCACAAAGTTTAAACTGTCAAAACAATCTTTTAAAAAAAAAAACCTCTCGTTGATTTGTCAAATTGAGAAGATTAATTAACGTAAAACGGTGATTAATTTTGTGTTAGCCGGTGAATCACTCAGATCAAATTGACAAGTGAACTTCCGAAAGTAGTTCCGTGTAAACTGTTGCCATGACACCGCGGCGGAGTAATACACCGATTCACATTCGTGAGTCTTCTCGAAATCCATATTTCCCAATGTTTGTTAGTGATCCGAGGTGGCGCTCAAGTATAGAAAACGGTCACTGTTTCAATTTACATTAATTAATAACATTACTTTTCATTGTTTCTTACTGTTTATTTTCAATTTCACATAAATATGTATAACTATTGTAATAATATATTTTTCACTCATTAAAAGTTAAAAATCATGATATATTCATAATCTAATTTTTATAGTCTCTGTCAAACAATTCAAAATTGGCGCCAGTAATTAGATTAACTTATGCATTTGTGTGCAGCTATGTTCACATTAGTTCTTTGTGAAGTTAGCCATATAAATTAGTATGTATATACGTGTGAATATGTGAATAGGTGTATTCTTATAGTGTTTACATATTACTTTTATGAGTAATTTAAAGTCGTTACTTTATAGTTTTAAAGATGTCTTCTGAAACAGATAAATATGTCAGTTTATAATTATAATTATTATTATATGTAATTAATTATAAATCCCTAATTGTTTCTTATATTTAACTTGTAATAAAAGATGCAATAAATATCTAATAAATGATTGTTAATAAATATTCGTATTTACAGGTATATGACACTCTCAAAGTTCTTCACTTACCATCTCATCTTTCTGATCAACGACGAAATGAATTATTTCAAAAATATGGTGCTATCAAGACACATACTTTACGACCTTCTAGCAAATATACTATAACCTTTGCCAAATTTCCATCTCATAATGCAGCAAATGAAGCATTTTTACGTTTACATCAAATTAAAGTCAGAGGACATTATTTGTCAGTTGAATTTGCTAAAAAGTCTATACCAATAGAATACACTGAAAATGAATCTCGCCGGGAAGATAAAGATGACATACAAAAAGAAACAATTAATAAGTCTCATTTCCAAGCATTTTTAAAACATTTGTATGGAAGCTCAATGAATCAGATTTTTACACAACCACCATCACCAAACATTAAATATAAATATACACCACCAACAAAAAGTACTTTGTTGAGAATTACTATACAATTATTGAAAGAACCAGCTTTCTATACTCAGGTATTATAACTCTATTAAAATCTTTATTTTGTTGTATTATCAATATTTTTATCGTCAACACCTTTATTATATGTTTGAAGGTATTACATTTAATGAACAGAATGAATTTACCTCCACCATTTGAAGAACTGGATACAGAATTTCCCATGTTAAAAGAAATTTATGATATCGAAAAGTATAAAGATATTTTAGGCGAAGATATACTTGAACCAATAATAAGAAAAAGTAAGAAGTTTGAAATTTAAAATATTTAACTTTGAATTTAATTTTATCTTTTTTAATGCATTAGATGTTTCGCAAAATGACAAAAAAGAACAGGAAGAAACAGATGAAGAAGAATCTGAAATAGAATCTGATGAAGGTGCTAATGTCCAGTCTTTACAAAATATACCTGTAAAAAGAAAACATTCACAATCTAAAAAACGAATAAAAATTCCTAAATTTGTTAATCCTGCTAAACAACTAACATCAACTTCTATTCAAAAAGCAATCAGACCAGAAGATATGTTTGAGCCTGTACAACTAGGTGAATCTAAGAGTTTAAAAATTGAATTGAAAACTGTTGACAAATTATTAGAAGGAGTAGATGTAATATCTGAAGTTAAACTTGATAATACTCAAGAAATACAAGGTGGATTTGGATTAATGTTTCCTCCCAAAAATATTGAACACGTGAAACAAAATATAGAACATTCTAGTGAAGAATCTCTTGAAAAAACTTCCGAAGAATATTCTGAAAAAACTTCAGAGTTTATTACAACAGAAGAATTAACATCAAACAGAATATCAGTTAATGGTAAGAATATAATTTTAATCCCATCTACAATAATAAAAATTTTGAAAAAATTATTTATTTTATTCTATATACTTTATAGATCAGAGACTTCTTCCTGTTTTCAAAAATTATCATGCCGGGAAACCTACAAATCGATTGTATATAAAAAATCTTGCAAAACAAGTTGAAGCTAATGATTTGCACTATATTTATAAGAAATATGTAATATCAGGATTAAAAAATGCCGAATATGAGTAAGTAGTACAATATATATTTGATTGAACATAATTATATACCAGATATACATTTTATAATCATAAAATACTTAATTATAGATATAATGTTCGTCTTATGCAAGAAGGTAGAATGAAAGGGCAAGCATTTGTTACATTACAAAATACAGCTCAAGCACAGTTGGCTCTGCAAGAAACTAATGGTTATATTTTAAAAGAGAAGCCTATGGTTGTACAGTATGCTAAAGTATCAAGTAGCTAATAGGTATTATACGTATTATCTCACAGGATATTCATTTTTTATCTGTAATAACTTCTATGTGTATTTCCTTATATCTATTTTCTTATTTGAAAAATACAAAAAATATACTATTGCAGACAAAAATTATGAATAAACATCATTTTTCAACAAGGATGGCCGAGATCAATAAACTTATTCTAATTTTTCTATAGCGCAATTTTTAAAATTGTGCGGAGAAACAATCAAGTTAAAGGCTTATTATAGATACAACAAACAAATCAACAGGTATATTATCTAAACGTTAATAAATTAAATAAAAGCATTAAGAATATAAATTTATCATATAAAAATAATTACGAAAAGAAGTCTTGAAAACTTAAGGTAAATAAAATAAGGTCTCTTAGATGATTAGTGTAGTGATACGTTAAAGCCGCGTCAGCGTAAGTCGGCGCCCGCCTGGCACAATGGCATCAAGTAATTATACAATGGGCCAGTAGAGTGCGCTGATGTTAGATTTCTTTGCTCGATCAGCATTTATAAGAAATCATAGATGTATGCGCGCGCGTCCAATGTCCGGTTCACCGACCATCATCGCGTCTCAAACCGTATACGGAATCCATAGACATAATTCACTCCGTTGCCGTCCTACACCTTTTCTTCCTTTCATTACTTTCGTGTAGACGTTAACAATCCTGAAAACACGATGGACGTCTCCCTTTTGTTTCAACATACGCAGTATGCGATACCAATTGGAATAGTTCTAATTTGTGCCATTCTTGTCTTTGCTTTTGGTTTCAAGAAGGCCGAGCAACCACCGTTCGCTCAATTGTCCGACGTGGACCGGAAACTTAACAACAAGAAGCGCGGCAAAACCAAAGATAAGGTTGGTGGAAAATTTCATTTCTTCATATTGTCGAAGATTTTATGAAATATTTGAACTTTTTTGATCTACGTATCATTTATTGTTTCGATGATTTTGAGTAACCATATGGTTCATTGTGGCGGCGAGTAAACGCGTGCGCACACATCTGTGATAATCAGCTGGTTTTCGTTGAAACAGTTTTGTGTATACGTGTACGATGTTCTTCCGAGTGTATGACGTAACAAGGTATACTTCGAAACGTGGTTTAATATGTTTGTGTTTTACTATGTTCTCTGATCTTTACTAACTAATATTTCGCGCGTTTCTTTATTTTTTTTTATTTAACAATGTAAAATAATTTTTGAAATTATAAATTTATATTTCAGAAAGCTAGTAATGGTCAAGTAGCAAGTGAAAAGGCCAGTCCACTTAAGAAAACTGTGACATCGAAAACAGAAATTTCGTCAAAGAAAACTACATCAAAAGCAGATGAGATAGATAATAAGTCTAAAGAAAAGAAACAAGAGGATAATAAAATCTCTTCCAAAAAGGAAAAGAATCTAGTTGATGTAAAAGATGCTAAAGAAAATAAAATTGAACAAACAAAGAATAAGAAGAATTTGAAAAATTTAGTTCAAGAGAAACCAGTTGATTTTGACGATGGTAACTATTACGATATTACTTCTTTCAGTTAGATTTGTAAGTTAAACATTCATTAATTTTCTTTTATTTTATTCTTTTGATATAAATTAATATATTTGTATATAAATAAAGGTGATTGGGAACAAGCATACTCTAGAAAAGATAAGAAAAATAAGAAAAAAGAAGAAGAAAGTCCTTCAAAGAAAGGTAAAAAGGCAACAAAGAAAGCTGATATAATTAATGAAGCTGTTGCCAAACAAAAAGAACAAGATAAAAGTGAAGTTAAAGATAAAGTTGCTAAAGAAACAGAGAATAAAGAATTAAAGGAAAAGGAGAAAAAAGAAATAATACTTACTCCGATTACTGCTGACAAGGCAACTAAGGAAAAAGAATTAGAAAAAGAAGAAGAACAGAATAAGGTATGATATTGATTATATATTTTTACTATCATAATAGATTTGTCATTTTTTAAATGTAAATTTATATAAATAATAAATATATATAAAAATTGTATGAAAAATACTAGTAATCTACATATTTACATCTTGTCATATAGATTGAGAAATCAGAAAAAGAAGAAAAGAAAAGTAGCAAATCAAAAAAAAATAAAAAAATTTCTGAAAAAGAAAGTACGCAAGTATCGACAACAATCTCTGCAGCAGAAATAGACACTAAACCTATTGAAACTTCTGTACAAAAAATGAAAGATGATACAGAGAAAAAAATTGATAATTCTGATCCTAAAGGTGAGCCAACACGGGAAAAAATTAACTCTGCATCGGACGAAACAGGAGGTAATTCAATTTTATTGATTAAATATTATGTAATTATGAATATATTTCGAATTGAATGCCAAAGGAAACTTTATTAATGCACTTTATCATGTATGTTTGAACAGATGCAAAGTCACAGAAAAAACATAAAAAGAAGGCTCGGAAAGATAACTAAAGAAAGTTAAAAGTAATGATAAAGTTTTTCCACCAAAAGGAAATAAAGTGAGAAACCTACTTGATTCAAAAAACAAATATGCGTTGCTTTGAACAAGATGGGTGCTTTTAAAGTGACTTACCAATCAATCGCCTGACCAAATCGTTCCTCATCTTTGTATATAATGCAAATTGGGTTAAGTTCTTTAAGCGAATAATGTTATATATAGGATTCATGACATCAGGTGCGTACATAGCATTCATAAAAAGACTTCTTACATATTCCCAATATATTTCGACATGTCCATTGTAGCCACGCTGCCTTGCATTTAATGAAAGGGGCATAAGTCATAGTTTTTGACTTAGTGTAATCAACGAAAAACAAGATAAATTATTTTAACATGATATTATATGTTTATAATAGCATATTTGTAGATACTCTCTCTTAATCTATAGAGATATATCATGTCTTTAGAAGCAAAACAGTTTAAATAGTTAGAATCTAGTACTTATGCCATTTTATTTTTTAAGATTAACCTACAATGAATATTTTATATAGAAGAAATTTAGTTTGCAGTACTATATAAATATATTCAGTAGTAATTTTTCTTTCCTTAGTTTAATACTATTTCTAATCATTTATTTATACTTCAGATATTGTAAGTCAAAACGTAGAAAGTATGAAGTATACTTCAAATTGTCATTGTATAGGACAATCTCTTAAAAGAAAAACATTAATACGTTATTAAAACGTATAGAGATCTATAAAATACATATTTTCTTACATAAAAGATCAAAAATTACCTTTGTTAAAATGATATTTTAATGCTTTAAAGAAATTTATCAATTTTTAAAGCATTGAAATATATCGAATTAAATTCAGACTTAATAAAAATTTATTAAGATTTGACTATGTTTAACAAATATTTTTTTGTACTATAATGTGTGTGATGTTGATTACAAATAAATTTATAATAATAAGTTTGCCCAAGCACTGAGAAATGTATACAATTAAGTTACAGTAAAATCCATTTGAAAACATTGTCCAGATAGTGTCAATAGACTTGATGTACTATTGGACAATACTTTAAAAATTAATCATTATATCATATTATAGAAATTATATCCGTGAAGCAAAAGTGGTTGATAAAAATTACAAATATTTATTTTATTGAAGAATTATTAATTGTAAATATACGCATTATTGTTATATTAATATTCTGGACAAAAAGCTTAAATAAGCAATATGGGCCTAGCAAACTTTGATTTTCGAAGGACATACTTCAGAGTTTATACTTGCATATCTCATTTTATATTATATTTAAGTAGACACAATATATTTTTTTAATACGAGCTCTACATGCAAAAAAGATTTTGTCTAAATAAAATATAAAAATAAAACAAATTATTAATTGCTGACAATACTTTGCAGTTCAAACACAAAGTTAAATTTTATCTATATGTGGTATATAAATTGAAATACCAGGATACAAACTTGAATTGAGGTTTCATTTTCGAACTATTATTTGTAATTATGATAGAATAATAGTAATGACGATTAATATTTTTGCTAAGTCCAAATGCGCGTGTATTACGGTGCTATATATTATGCATAAAAAATATGGAAATTGTTCTTGTATATGTACTTGTGCATGTGCAAACTAAATTAATTTGTCATGTTTTATACTACTACAACATATTTAAACATACCTAATCAATTGGTACAAATCTGGAGCAACAGATTACTAATGAGTGTGATTCAAGTTTTATCAGATATATATATTTTTTTCATTACTATCCATATAAGTCATTTCAATGAGTCTTTTTTTTATTATTATGGCTCACGTAGAAATGGATAGATAAGTATTTTAAACATATATCAACATACATCGTTAAAAATGATTTTGTGCAAAATATAATTAATAATTGTTTTATTAATACATTAAACAGTATGCTCTGTATAAATGTGGAAATGCTGATAATAGAGATGTATAAAGATAAATGTGTTTATATAAAAATAGATGGATTAGAAGCATATATATTATAAGTCTTATTTTACATAAGGTGCTCCAGCTTATATTTTATTAGAAAACAATCTAAAATATGAAAAAGAATATTATTTGCAGTTATCAATTAAGAAAATAGTAATTATTGTAGTTATTGTAGACATTAATTGCAATATTGCAATTATTTTATATCTCATTTAAGCGTCATCTAATAATGTTTATGTTTATTTCGTATATAAATGAAAAGAGTAAGATAGAAAGAATATTTGAAGCATATGCCTGACGAAGCCTTGTGATAAGCATTTTATATACCTGAGCTTTATGGTTTGAATGTGCATAATGGGGCCACTAATGGTTCTTCATATTAAAAAAAAGCAGAAGATACCTTATTATATACTTTTTTTTTATAAATATAAGAATAGATTACAAAATAAAAAAATATTTTTATGTTTTATGTCTTTTCAAATATCGATAATTACAAGATATTTTCTGTGGTTTAATAAGAATTATAATTTAATTACAATATTCGTTATAATTGAGACAGACAAAATTGTAATACATTTCTCTTTATATAAAATTGACAAATGTTTAATCTATCATATCATATAATCAGTATATAACCCATTCATGTGCCAAACAGAAAATATATAGCTATACGTTATATTTTTCTAAGAGTAAATCTCATAAAAGAAAACTGCTATTATATATATTTACGACGTATATTTTGTGATCTTTGGTAGCTACATTTTTTTATTATTTGATATAGTTTATACACTATTAAAAATATTGTCTCTTTTTTTTTTAATTGCTCCTGTAATTTTCTTTTTCTTTTGACAGATTATTTCTATTGTAAATGGTAATTTTCTTAAAATTACATCTTTTATTAATTTTGTTTTTATAAAAACATTATTATTGTACTTAAATATATTTGATAATTTATTCGTACTGATGATATTGTGCGCTACTACAGTAAGCATATCTTTAGAAATACATTTTTTTAAGTAATAATTACGTAACACACTATGTCAAGAAGTTTTGAATGTTTAATTGGTTAATTATTAAAACATGTTACATTCATAGAAGCTTATCACGCATTATATGATTTTTTTTCTATTGTGAGGTAATTAAATAATAAAATAATGCAGTCAAAATTATACATGAAAAATAAATGCTCTTCGTGTACTTATATGAATATGCATTTTTTATAATATTTTTGTAGTAAAATTAAAACATTTAAAAAGCTTAATTAAAAAAAATATATAGTTATTGTAAATAAAAAGATAATGTTGAAATTGTACATATGTATATTAAAAAGTACTTCTCTGATTATAATTATATGTGCAATTGTCATTAAAATCGTAGTGATAGTTTTTAAAATCTAAATCTTAATGTTTGCATCGATGTAATATAAAACATAACAGGAAAATTGAATCAATTTCTGTCTATGCATTCCAGGATAAATTTTATTTATGACCAATTATTTGAAATATGTTTGATTATGAATATGTGTGATTGTAGATATGTTTCACGATTTTATTATATAAAACAGTGAATAAATTTAAAAAAGAAAATTATTTTGAAAATAAAAATGTTCTGAGTATCTACATAGCATTTTTACTACTTTCAGTTAATATAAAAAAGTTAAAATATAAATAATAATTTAAATATTTAATTATGTATATCTCAGGCAAAACAAGAAAAATTGTAAGTCATGATATGATTTTATTGACAGCATAATGGGTTAGAATATATAATTTATCTTACTCAAAAAGACTAAAAACATTGAAAACTTACTATAAATATATTGTTACAGCTATTTTTATTATGATTATAGCGTCGATAGATAAATATGTCATGTAAAGTGCGTGTGTTTTACTTAGATCTTATTGTTAGATGAAAAATCATTAGTTTCTGAGTTAGTATTAATATTAATCAAATGAAATAATAAGTAACAATGAAATTTTATTATAAAAAATCTATGGAAAATTATAATTCAAGAGAGATATTCTGCTCCCTGATTCTATATTTTATTTATGATTTGAAAGGAAAACAAAATGTCATTAATTCAGTGGTATCAAAAGTACCTCTTTTAAACAAAAGAATATTTGACTATATGATAAAGGTATTATTAACATTTGAAGACAAACTTATATTTCTATGATAATAAAAAAGGAATCTTATTGAATGCCCTTCATTTTGGCAGCAGAAGGTTTCTTTAACGTGATTGTGGTTTTGGTTGTGATATTTCGGTAAAACGTGCAAGAAATGTGAGCTAATGTGAATTAGAACAAAGAGGAAGATAAAAATAAATGAATAAAAATTATATTTTTCCAGCATATAATTGGTTTTTTATTATATTTGTATGTAGTATAATTGTGCGATATTGTGCGCATTTATTTGTTTATACTGTCAAAAAAGAGATATATATATATATAATAATAATTTTTAGTATATTTATAATTTATTATTCATATATTTTTGTTTTTAAGCAGATATGCTACTGGTATAAATTAAAACTACGAAAATTCTAAGATCACCAAAATTACTCTCCATATGAATCTTATACTAAATACCTAGAAGTTTTATTTTTTAATCATTAATGTTTCTAAACAAAAACGTTAAAGTAATTATAAAAGTTATTATACATATATTGAATATAATAGTAGCACATTAATAGCATTAAATGTGGAAATGTATGTAGATACAAGGTTCATAAACGTTATATAATGATCGCGTATAATCCTTACTAAATGTACCATTTATATTAGTGTATATTTTTATAAAGTTTCTATATTTAATTATTATTGTTAAAGATATTAAGTCTATTTTTATATTTTAATTACGTTTATGTCAATATTTTAACGTAATTATAGAAAAAGAATATGATAAGAAAAATCATAAAACTTGGAAGAACTTTTTAATATGGGAAATTTGTTCTTGTGTCCATAGTTCGTTTCATTCATTTTTTCGATTGACCTTTTTTGTTATATTTAGTGCACTTCCTTTTAAATTGTTTAACGGGTTTTGCGGATTCTTCGATATCACTTTCGCGCCTATTTTTATTACTTTTACTTTCCCGATTTTTACTAACTGGTTTTCTCGTTTCATGTTGAATCAATAAATGTGCACTTTTTCTAGGAGTTTTACTTTTGGCTTTAAGTTTCTTCCTCTTCTGCTTTTTAGGGCGATTCATGTTAGCGATAATAGCCTCGGTATCGGCAGAAATCTTTGTTTTAGATTGCTGAGTTAAAACAGTTACTCGAAGATACGAGTCATACAAAATATCGCCACAAGTTTCACCGAAACAATATTCTTCACCACACTCCCCGCAAATCTTAACACTACTCTCAATAATACCTGCTCGGTTTTTGTTACGTCTTATTGGACTTATAAAAGAGCGTCGTTCTTTTATACGAGTTTTTGCTTCTAATTTGCCCATTTCTACCTGCAGATAACAAACATACTTTGTTCAATAAACCATTCAGATTTTCTGGATTTATATTACAGTGTCATAGTAGTTAAAATATAAAAATTACCAATCTTGAAAACAACTCCTCATCTTGACGAAGTTTTGGTCTGATCGGCGTAAGCATTCTCCAATCTATTGCAACTTGTTGTAATTCGCGAAGACTTAAATTTTTCATGTCAGGTGGTATAGGATCTCCGTATGCCCATTCTTTCTCTATAGCTTTTAATTCTTTTTTAGTTGTTTTCCAAGAAAATTCCTTATCGCGTACTTTGGTATCTTCTCTTTTTACCTTAATGTGACAATAAAAATCATAATAATAATGAAAAAAAAAACATATTGTTATAAATATTTTTAGGAATTGTCAGGTCCTATATATTTTTGCTAAAAATAAAAGGATTCATAGATAAATAGTTACGATTAACTTAAAACGTTATAAACAAACCTTGTCTGTTTTGATTTTAAATTCTGGACAATGTTCTAATAATCGTCTGAATTCCTCTTGAGAATTACACGTTGCTTTACTCAGATCTGGTATTAAATTAGCATCTTTTTTATCGTCCTTCAAAAGATCATCTAACTCGAACGCCATTACAATTTAATATCTGTAATGCGAGAAAGAAGCCTCGTATCTTAACATTTTCATTTTTGTTTTCTTTTCTCATCTCATTCTCTCATATTTTCTATAATCTACACAATCGCTCTCTACAAAAATGGAAAGAAAACAAATAAAAAAATGTTTTAATATGCGTATGGTTTTGATAATATTAAAAAATTTCCGATGCAGTTGGCGATACCAAACTTCTATTGGGATCCCATTCTAATTGTTTCATTAAGAGACCCTGTAAAAATAATATATCATTAAATATTTTAAAAATAACGAACAGTTTTTTAAAAAACACGAACGAATTATATTTTATATATAATTAGTATGTAAAATCGTATGTACATTTCTTAAAGAATTTAATTTTTCCAAAATTTCACGTCCGCACCAAATATTAGACTGCTTATTTTCTGGCTTTCCTTCGATTTCATTCATATGATTAATATCGAGTAAACGTTTATTTCTATTGTTTGAGTTACTTTCAATATTAATTTTTCCATTTCGATCAATACGCAATGGTACAACAGAATTGAGACTATCCATTGATAGATCAGCATCATAACTATCAACCTTTAATTTCCTTCTAATTGAATTTCGCAATTTTACTTTTGTATTTATCGGTTTTCTTCTATCGGGAGACGGTGATCTATAGAAAGATTTAGAATGAATTTAATAGAAATGTAAACAAATACAAATATCATCTATGAATTAATAAAGGAATTATTGTTCGTATACCTTGACCCTTCATCGCTAGATTCAACTTGACGCTTTCTCAATCGCAATCGTCTCTGATAATGCGGATCTTTCTCACTTTGCGTTCTATACCGTGTACCTGGTCTATAAATTTGAACGTTGATCATATATTTGTTTCTATATTAATTTTCTGTGATGGTATATGTAAAAATTGTGTTAATTGAATTATTAGATACTGCGATTACTAGACTTATACCTGTTGGCATTCCAACGTGGTCTAGATTCAATACTTTGTCGGGGCTGAGATTTAGACCTTGTAAATGACTTAGTCGGAAGTTCTTCTGCTTGACATACATTTGTTGACCTTTCGATAATAAGATGAGTGTAAATTAATATACTGTTAAAATAGAATTTCGCACACGTATGTAATAATGCGTATGATAAATAAAAAAAAAAAGAGTTATAGGTGGTCACTTTCGTTTCTTCCGTAAAATATTAAAGAAGTTCAGCAAAATATTTTTCAAAAAATGATCGTCTTGAAAGAAAATAAGAATAGTAGTTACCGCCTTGTTATTATGCATTATAGACGAATAGCTTCCACGAATTTATTGTTGAAGCATTTCGCGATGTCGAACTTGGATCGACTCACTTTTCTACGTCTCTTCTGTTAGCATTGGTTGTGTCCTTCCGTTCCTTAATCGATCCATCCTTTGTTGAGGATTCTTGAATCTTCTCGCGAAGATCCTGAAGATCACTTTCAATATCGGTCTGCGTACCAAAATCTCGACCAGAGGTCACTCTGTATTTGCTGGGTGTAAGTAGGCGATTTTCAGTAATTGTCGATGAGATTTTCGATGAACTTTTAGCCAAAATAGGACTTCCTAGATTCTTCATTAGAACATCTAATCCCAAAGATAAACTTGATTCGTTTTCCGATTTTCTTGGACTTGGAGTCACGACCAAGTTTACTAATTGCAAATTAGCTTTTTTAAGTAACTCTGAATCTTCCAATCTTCCACTTAAAACAATTGCCACGTCCTTACTAATTGGAACTTGGACAGAATTGACTTCTTCTGTCGTGCCTTCCGATTTCTCCAAATGAACGATTTCGTTTTTTTCATGATCAATTTTTTTCTCAATAATTTCTTTTGCATCTTTTGGAATTTGAGATTCATGACAACAATTATACAAATGCTCTTGAGACTTATTATCTGTGCAATTTTTGACTGGATATTGTTTTATTTTTAAGTCGTAACTTTCGGTAGAATGATTTAACATCGGTTGCTCTATTTCGATACGTTTTCGACGATTCTTTTTTTCTTCTTTGGCTGAATTCTCCGCTGCTTGAAGTATTTCACGCATCGCTTCGGCTTTCTTTAATTTTGCTTCTTCTTTCTCTTTTAATTTCCTTTGCTCCTCCTCGAACCTTTTGAAATACGATAGATAATTTTAGAAAAATAAAATGAAAAAATAATTATAATAAAAATTAATATATTTAATATAATACCTTTCTTTTTCTCTATCCCTTTCTCGCCTAATTCTTTCCTCTTCCAATTGTTCTTCCCTTAACCTTCTCGCTCTTTCTTCTTTCCTTTGTCTATCTTTTTCTTCAAGTTGCTGCTTTATAGCATTTTGAAGTTCCAGAGCTTTCTGTCTTCTTACTTCTCGTTCTTGAAGAATGTTTGCATCAACTGGTATGTTTTGTCCACGAAGATAAGTTTTGGTAGTATCAGAACCGGTTGATCCAGTAGTTGAACTGTCTGGACTACTTGCACTATCGTGATTAATTACTAATACCTATATAATAACAAAAAATAATTGTATCGATAAAGAGAAAAATGGAGAAAATATGTCGATGAGAAAATTCATATATTTATTACTTGACTCGATTGGCCCAATCTCGAAAGCCAAGATGGGGGTGGTGGTGGATCTCCTCTCACACTATCCTGTCCCCAAACACTACCCCATCTGGGTCTATTTATTAATTCTCCAGCTCTTCCATCCGAAAGTCTTCTCGATGGTGGTAACGAGCTGTCTGGTGTTGTGTAATAAGGATTTTGCCAAGTTCTTTCCATTGTATCCGTTTCAGAACCCTTACATCCCGGTATGAGTCCTTAACAGATAAATACAATATTAATATTGAAATAAATAAAAATAATTAGTAATAAGTTGTTGATATTAAAAATGAATCTTCCTTACGCCGAGATTCCGGCAAGGATACATCGACGGAATCGCTGGCGTAACCCGAAGTTTCACCCTCGCGTTCTTCGCCTAACGAGCCGTAATGGGGTGACGGTTCGTTCTGGTTTTCATGACGATCGTTCGATCGATGCTGCTGATGCGGCTGTTTTTGTGGCTTATGAGTCTGGTGGTAACGCGACCCTTCGCCTTCGAAGTTACGTCGTTGTTCCTACAAAGACAAACGAGAACGTTGTACCTTTAATATTTTATAGACATGAGAAATGATCTACCATTTCGCGTGATTTACTTAAACTTATTTTCATATGATTTATAATCTTACATAAATTCTCGTGTATCGATTATACAAGATTATAACCACAATCGCGTGTAATAGAAAAACGGATATTGCGTGACGGACGGGTTCGTCCATCGTGCTCTTTATGGATATTGTTATATGGCATTCAAATAAATTTACACGGTTACGTATCACTGTATAATATGAGCACACGACTTGTCGAGGATTCTTCAACTTGTATTGGTATATTTAAGATTATTCATTGAAATCTACTTAAAAGATAAAAACATTTTTTTTTTCAAATAATATCAATAAATTATTCAATTTATTGTAGGCATATATATGGAAGAAAAATAAAAAGTAAAGAATAAGAAATAAGAGGAAGTTCTTTGCACGAAGTAAACTTAAATTATATCGTGACATTATTGGGGTCGATGAACCTTAATTATACGATAAAGATCGATTTACTAGAGTGTCTTACTTCTACTTTTCCTTTATAGAGACTTAACGATCGAGTGTCGTGGTTATTGACCTAGTATAATGTAATGATTATAAACCTAATTCGTCTCTTAAGTAATATTGTTTGTTATTTTGCGTTCCGACTTTACATGGAAGTGTATAGACTGGATAGTTCCTCTTAGAGTCAACAGTTCATATTTCTTTAAAATATTAAATGTTACTCCGATCGAAAAGACAAGACTTTTAACAAGGCTGGTATATTCTAATAATTGAATTCCATGTTATATTTACTTTAACAAGTCATTATTCTTGTAAACTTTTACTTAGGGCGTAACTGTCTTAATATTTGTAAAGGATCTTCTATACCCATCATCATCAAATAACAATCCGATAATCTCTCGTGAATAAGTTACCTAACGGCTTTTTTGGGGGTACTTGCCGCTAATGTATACGAAGTCTAATAAGTCTGAGCTTTTTCTTCCATGCCTGTGTCTGTATTTTTAGTTCTACAATAAATATTTTAACAACGTCTATGGGTTTCTACTTATTGTATCTAATACTTATATATAAATAGACCTCTTTAGGAAACCTAAGGTATCCTATATTCACCTTTCGACTTATTTGAGTCATCCTCGTTCGTTTCTATATAGACTTATACTTCCTAAACTAACAATAAAATTGCTATTCAATTTCAAATTCCTATGCCATATTAAATTTAAGCTTCGTGATGTTCGATAGTTAATTGATCAGAATTCAACCTTCAACGGATTAGAAATAGTAATAATAAATAAGAAGACATTTTTACAGTAATATATTCGTGCAAATTTAATGGTCGTTATGTTTAATCGACAGTAGCTGCATAAATGATTAACTATCTAAACGCTATGTTTAAGATCAATAAAATTTCAAAATACTGACCTGATATAGATATTGTTGCTGATCTTTATTATAAATTGGCGGCAAACTCGGACTTCTGCGTCGAATACGCGATATTTCTGTGTGGTCATTAAGATTAATTAAACTACCACTAGAGTAATCGAAATTCTTCAAATTCGTTGTAGCATTTCCAGTATTATCTGTTGATAAGGTCTTTAAGCTCACGTTGCTTCCGTAATGAGCAGTTGCACGGAAAGGTTGCGATGATATCTGCTTATCTTTAGTGTCGATTAAAGACAATCTCGAGCCAGTTGCATATGTGCTGTATTAGGTATTTTAATAAATTATTTCATTTATTATTTGATCGATATACACGATCAATTATTATTCAATATTTACCGAACAGTCGTGCGGATAGTATCATTGTGCTTCAGCGTACCCCAATTTCCACCAAGATATGCCATTTCTTCTACAATATGTAAATAAAAAGATTAATGAAAGTTACGAAAGCATAAAGTTCACATTAATTAATGATAAAATATTTTTACAAACTCATCAAAGTGTTACATCATAAAATAACTTTTTCCGAGTATTGAATACAGATGGTTCTATACTTTACGAATAAATTTATTTCGAAAAAAAAATCTCTTTCAAAAAATGGAAATTACCATGTCCCACAGACACAAATGATAATCTTATAAAGAAAAAATCGTAAAGCAAAAACTACCTGTAATTATCAATTAAAACTGTAAGCAATTAATAATTAAAATAAAGCAAATTAAGAAATATGCGTAATCGATCGTAATCATCTCCCTCCTTGATAATCAAGGATAGACATACCTCTTTCCTTCGCCCACTGAATCCTCTTCTGTTCTACCAGAGTCGTCCTCGCGTTCATCATCAACGCGTAACATCGATTTCACGATTGACATCGAGGAAGAAACGCGCGGGTTTTTGGTGAAATGACGATATAAATGGGGCAAGAAATGATGAAAAATGTCCTAATAACATCCAAACTCCTAAAGAGATTTGGATAATTGGAAATATATCCTACCTAAAGTATGTTCCTACGAAGACAAAGGCAGAGTATGTAGTTTGGTAGCGATAGCTGATGAGTAACTTCCGGTGGGAACTTCGAGGACGAACTCGCGAGTTCATCCCAGGTCGAGTCAATATTTGTGACTGCGGTAGGCCTGTAAGACTGAACTGGGTTTACCTGCCATTAATTCATATATACCTTGTGCTTACATACCATCGGTTGAACTTACACGGGTAAAATTCGATCGTTCTCCGTTTCCATAGGAACTGTTGTGGAATCAACCGCGTGATATCCGGCATGTTACCACTTCTCAGGGTCGATAATATTGATTCTCAGGATATGATAACGGATAATGACCTCCACAGTTACATTTGACGGTCAGAGATTAGCATTTACAGAGGAATGCAACAGCTTCAATGCCCTCAAGATCGGATATTCAGATTAACTAATTTCCGTATCTTAATTTCCTGTTCTACAGTTTCAAATTGTGTTTCTTTAATTCCTTTTCTTTCTTTTTCTTCTAGTAAAATTGATTGTAATTCAAACATTCTATTATACTTTATTTGTTTAAAAAATGATAAGAGTATCAAGGAATATCTTTGATCAAACTGATTAACAAAAATATAGAATTCAAAATGAAATTTCACGAAGAATAAATATTATTATATTTTGATATGAAGGATGAAAATAAGACAATAAAATACATATATATTGTGAATTTTGTGTGTACATAAATACACGGCATTTAAACTTTGTTCTTTCACATTTATATTTTATATGATTTGAAATAAATGTGTTATTTTTCGTATAGTATTGTAAGAAATCATTAAGAATAAAAAATGTATTACAAACCTAAAATGATAAATATATTAAGATTTTATGTTTTATATTTAAGGTGTTATAGGATTAAATAATAAGATGTAATATATTAAAAGAATATAAAATTGATCAAATATTTAATTTGAATACGACTAGAATCCATCTTTAAAAAAAGTATCGATTATTTTTAGTCACAGTGAAGCTAGTATCGATAACGAAGCTTGCACCATCTAGCGGTTAAGTTTAATACAACTACGCTACCTCATTAAGTTCTATAAATACAGCCTTGAATTTGTTATGTGTTTGATTAAAAATATAATTACGTTATTAAAAATTATATTATAAAAATCGACGCACAGGACTGTATGTATAAGAATTCAAAGGGTATTTTAGACGCTAACGCGTCAAAACGACACTAGCGCACCTACAAACAGATAGTAAAAGAAGTTTAGTTGATGATTTTTTATAGTTTGTGATTACTTCTCTTGGTTAAATCTACTCTAATTAAAGTGGTTTAAGGTTTGATATAATTAAAATAAGTGATTACTACGATAACTCTTCAAAATGGTAGATGTTTTAGACATCGATAATGCTGAAGATTTCGAGGTTGATGATGAAGGCGATCGTAAGTTATATTGTCATATATTTATTTATTTTTATAAAAAATGAGATACCGCCAATACACCTAACCTATGTTTACTTCCTTTGAACATTTGATTGTTTTTAGTTTGAAGTATATTTTGTAGAAAAAAATGATATTATTTTGACTAGACTTCTTGCTCAATAATTAATATTCACGTTGCAGAAGGAATAGCTCGATTGAAGGAAAAAGCTAAAAGAAGAAAAGGTAGAGGACATGGTGCTGAATTGGTGTCAACGCGTGATGATGTTGGACATTATGAGTCTATGCACGTTGTAGAAGAAGATGATGATGAACCTGGTCCACAAAGATGTAATTAAAACTATTAATGAATAAATTAAAAATTTCTAATATACGGCGTTAAAAATACTTATTTAAATTTCTAGCTGTGGAAGGATGGATTTTGTTTATTAATTCAGTGCATGAGGAAGCTCAAGAGGACGATATACAAGATAAATTTTCAGAATTCGGACAAATAAAAAATTTACATTTAAATTTAGATAGAAGAACAGGTTTTTTGAAAGGTTACGCTTTAGTAGAATATGAAACGTTCAAAGAAGCGCAAGCTGCGAAAGAGGCATTAAATGGTACAGATATTTTGGGTCAAGCAATTTCTGTTGATTGGTGTTTCGTCAAAGGACCCAAAAAGTAACTTATATCTCTTTTCACATTAATTTATTTATTATTATATATATTTCATTTTTTGTGTTACTTACATCTTATTTATTTATATCTGCTTTCAGAATTAGAAAGAGAAGTCATAGAAGACGGTGAAAATAAACGCAAGGATATAAATATATATACAATTATATATTTACAAAAAAAATTTTTTCACTTTTTCTTTTTAAAATTAATGAATATTACATATATACAATTAAGAGTAATAACAATAATGTGGAAAATGATACTTGAACAATAATTCTGATCAGAAAATCTATCTCTTTTTTTATCTTTGAAATGTTACTATATTACTCTATTTTATTCTATCTATTGGATTTATTATCGTATTCATTATAAAAAAAAAATAAAATGATAGAACTTACTTTTTTATTTCATACGTTTTAAATGACCATATCAATAATATTTAATTTTGTAGAGAAGAAGCAAATGATACTTTTCGTTTGTTATTATTTTTAATATAATCTTGCAGAAAGTAAGAATTAGTTCTTTATTAATTCTTTTGTTAGGTACAAGTTTCAGAAGAATGTAAATGCATTTGCTTATTGCATAACATGTTTCCATTTCCATTTATAATTAGCATAAGATTTGCTAATTTTTTCTCTATTTATTATATAAAGTATATTGATAAGTGTGTCGGTAATTGATATAATAGGTTGAATCAAAATATTTTTTTAAATTTATTTTATTATATAAACAATCTTAATATTAGATAAATAATAAAAATCATTTTTTCTATTTTTTGACAATACACTTACAATTACCGTCACAAATAAGAACATAAAATATGATTAAGCATAGTAATTAAGATTTGCTTTCTTCTTTGCTTGAACTTCATTGATAGCTTCCATCAAGTCTTCATGAGTAACTGCAGTTGCATTACGTCTTAAAGCAATCATGCCCTATAAGAAGGAAAAATATTAAATTTTAATAAATAATATAATATGAAATTATATATTGTGAAGATACAAAAATGTTACATACTGCTTCAACACAGACAGCTTTACATTGTGCTCCATTAAAATCATCAGTTGATCTAGACAACTCTTCAAAATTAACATCTGGTGACATATTCATTTTACGTGAATGAATTTGCATAATTCGTGCTCTAGCTTCTTCATTAGGATGAGGAAATTCGATTTTTCTATCCAAACGTCCTGATCTTAGCAGAGCAGGATCTAAAATATCAACTCTATTCGTCGCAGCTATTACTTTGATGTCAGCTGTTGAACTGAATCCGTCTAACTGATTGAGAAGCTCTAACATAGTACGTTGTACTTCCCTATCACCAGCTTTTTCTGAATCAAATCTTTTAGTACCAATAGCATCTAATTCGTCTATGAATATAATTGCAGGTGCTTTCTCTTTAGCTAAAGAGAATGCATCTCTAACTAATTTTGCACCATCACCAATAAACATTTGTACAAGTTGTGGCCCAGCCAATTTTAAAAACGTTGATTTAGTTTGTGCTGCACATGCTCGAGCTAATAAAGTTTTTCCTGTTCCTGGTGGGCCATACAAGAGTACACCTTTTGGAGGTTGTATTCCCAGATTTTCAAACTTTTCTTTATGAGTCATAGGTAAAACTACAGCTTCTATCAACTCTTGAATTTGTTTATCCAACCCTCCAATGTCAGAATATTGTTCAGTCGGTCTTTCATCTACTTCCATTGCCTTAACTCGAGCATCATATTCAGCAGGTAATGTTTCAAGAACGAGATAACTATCTTTATTAACTCCTACCAAATCTCCAGGTTTTAAAGATTCTGCATCTACCAAGCCTATTACTGGAAGAAAATATGTTTGACGAGTTGATGTTTTTATAACAGCACATTTGCCTTTTCTTTGAGCATCTAAATCAACAACAGCACCATCCTCTTCTCCCATGTCCTGTGGATCTACATCCAGCAATTCGATGACATTAGAAACTAAGTAAGGTAATGTTTTGTTAACTTTGATCTTTTCTGTGTTTTCTTTAATCTTATCATTTTGCGCTTGCAGTTCATGCGAGATTCGCATAACTTCACTTTTCATTATTTTTATTTCATTATCCAATAACCTGGTACGTGATACTATTTCGTCAGTAGACATTCGAAGTACATCTTCACCCAAAATTTCCTAAAAATTAAATATGACAATTAAACATGACGATAATATTTATTGCTAGATAAAGACTAAGACAACGATTATTTTATTGATTATCAAACGTATTTAGCATATTGGATATATATATTAATTATACAATTTGTATGTTAGAGTCAATTTATCAGATTTTCTATTTATTACAAATAATATTCCACACTTGATAATACTCTCTATTCGTTTAGATTTGCTTGTCATGCAATCATTCATAACCTTTGATCAAATATTTTATTCATTATACCTCTACGTCTTCCCAGATAGATTTATCTTCGAGAGTAGCCATTTATCCTAAATATGCGTATTATTGAACGTATGTAATATAGAAGAGTTTTTGTAGAACAATATTTAAATATTTCTTCTTGGGTTAAACCTAGCTCGAGGATTTTAACAATGTTCTTAAATTATTTTTAAAATAGATGGAAATATGTGTTGAATTTTTAAAAAACAATACGCCACCATACGTTCAGAATTGGAAATTACCTGTTTCCTATCGATAAAAAAGATTTCGTCAATAACGACTCATAAAAAAATAAAATTGCTAAATACATAGACTATTTTATAGTTTCATTAATTTTTTGACCATAAATATAATATTTACTAATCCGTTTATTATAAAAATCCCGATTTTAGAGATATATTTTGTAAAGATGAACATGAATAATGCAAAAAGTATTAACTAATAAATCAAAACTATACTGCTTGCAAATGCAAAATTTGTATCATTATTTATATACATATTTAAAATTTATACCAAAAAATACAGCAGAACCAAGTACAGAAATAATATAAATTGTATAAATGAAAATATACAAATCAATTTGTATTTTTAATACATATTTAAAGAATAGTATTATGTGTGCTTGAAGATAACAATACCAATAATATCAAAGCATTTATTAAAATTAGTATAATTTAGGCAATACAGTTAAAAGATTCGTCTGGCACGAGATGGTTTTTTAAATTGATCTATATTATATATTGTATTATAGATAATCAAAATATGAGTGTGTGCACGTGTGTGTGTTGCATAATTAATTGTTTTAATTATATAAATAATTTGGTCTCAATTTTTATCAACGAAGAAAATGCAATTAATAATACATAAATTTCTATAATTTACTATAAAGCCAAAATAAATGTAGTACAATACGTTAAAGCAATATTTGATTTTTGTACTTTATATAGTTATATCATATAGTTAAAGTACTGTACATTATATTGTGGTATGTTAATAACATTATAAGAACTTCATTGTTAAATATTCCTGATAAAGGACTAGATTTATTTATTTTACAGAGCCATAGTTCAATAAAGTTATCTTTTTAGGTAAACCGATTAAAATATCTAAATTCATAGCTAGAATTCATTTTTTTCACAATTCCATCTTTTAGGCACACCTGTTTAGTAGTATTACAATAGATCTCCATTTTCTAAAGTGATTTTTAAATAATATGAGATATTATAAGATAAATTAATTATACTTATAAATTGATTTTTTATAAGATATAATAATCTAATATAAAGTACTATATGAAATAAATGTCTGATATTAAATTTACTCGAAGTTAAGAGAATATAAAATTATTTTTTGTGTAAAAAAATTCGTAGCTTTACAGAATTCCATATCTATTTAACTTAAATTAATGCTAAATACAGTACCATTGTTTATAAAGCACCTGTACTATTGTAAAAACAAATACTTTCACCATGCTGTCTTTTCATAGCACTTATGCATTTCATTGTTATCGTGATAGTGAATCAATGAAAATTTCATCAAATGAAATCTGCATATTTTTAAAAATATAAATTGACATTATTATCATATTCCAATATATATACTAAAAAGACTTCACTTTATTTTTTAAGTAACTATAATAAAAAGTTACTTTTGTTTTTTAATAACATATTTATGTATACACAATGCGCTCTTCATTTAATTTACTTAATGATGTGAAAAATGTAACCCATGAGTATTTTATTATTACGATCACAATCATTTTCTGCTTTGTTATACATCTTCCAATATAATGTTTTTTTTATTAATATTTTAATATCCGGTAATGTGCTTGTACTTACATGGCAATATTAAAGACGGTAGTAACACACATTTAATTCTTTTTAGATTTCATATGTTTTTTTTTTAAATAAAAGTCAGCCCTTCCAAATAGTTTTCATTAAATTATTATTCGAAAGTCTAGCTACTATTATTTATTAAAAGAAAACTGGCAGCACTTTGTTCGATGTATGTCAATATAATTATTTATATAATATTAATTTACAAATAATAATTATACTTGAAAAATCTTTTTTCGCATGATTCAAATATCTTTTCATATACATTACTTTATAATATATGTATTCAGAGAGCCATCCTTCGTTAAGATCACATACATTAATTATCGATTATTTCATATCCAAAAAATCACTTGTAAACTATCTCGGTAATGTTTTGTTATAGAATGAATAGAACATCATGATTGAAACAACTATTGCTGTCTTAGTTACAATATAGAAATATTATGTTCTTAATTAGATTCAAAACAGAATACACACACGTCACACACAATGCATTCATACACACAGAAAAGCTGTACTTTAATCATCGTCTTTTGACAGATTCCATGTAAATATAAAATATTTTGTGGAAATAATTATTTAACTATATACTTTCACATTTAAGTGCAATAAATTTTGCAAATAACTAATTAAAATTGGAAGTTACAAATTAAGTAATTATCTGTCATTTACATACTTCTAAAATTAGGCCTTTGAACACACGAAGTTAATTTAATTGTAATTTATAGTATGAAATTAATTTATATTATTAATTCATCACATTTACGAATTGTAGCACAACCAATCTGTGTTGTATAATTGCTACTAATTTTTTTCATATATTTCTTGAAAAATATGTTATTTGTTACTTGTTTGTAGTTATTAAATATATGTCTGTGACTGATATATCCCAATCATTTTTTTTTATAAAAGAATAAGATATTTTTATAATGAATTATATTCGAAGATATTTTATGTATACACCAAACTTTGTTTTCTATGAAGTATGCCCTGAGACTTTTATACAGAGCTCTCTGTTTATGCTCATACATACACACTTCTTGGTACACATTATGGTCTCTTTCATTGAGTAGCGCTTGATAATTCTAATTTCAAGTGTGCCGAATTATATTTAATATATTTCAGAGAATCTCATTTATATTTCATTGCACTTGTGTATTATTTGTAACATACAACATTTCTTTTATTTTTTTTTTTTTTATCGAAGAGGAGAGAACCAAACCTTAATCTTAGAAAATTTCAATTATTTGATATCACTATGTACTAATTGCATATTAAGCGTATCATTAGTGTAAAATACTATTTTTTATGAATACTTGAAGAATATGCAATGCGTTTAAAGAGTATCTGCATTGAATTTAAAATGAAAAATATTTAAGCAAAAATAAAATAATATTTGACTGTCCATATTTATAAGTTACCTACAATATGTTATAATACATTTTTCAATTAAATTTAATTTATAAAAAAGTAAAGCAGAATCTGTATACAGAGTGCAATTCCTACATTAAACTGAATATTTAGAACCCACTTTTTTCATTGGTATTAATCTGAGGCCCTTAGCCAACATCTGAGCTTCAAGATCACGATCTTCATCCTGATACCTGAAAAAAAAGATATAAATATACATATATTTAATGTTAATAAAAATTCATATATATATATTCTTTTAGAAAATCGACCACAATGGAATATAATTTACAATACCTCTGTCGTTCTTCTTCTAATAGAGCTATAAGAGTATCTCGTTTTTCAACAATTTCTAACATTTCGGTCAATATTTCTCCTTCCTTTTCAACATCAGCGCTAGTCTTTTTTTCATCTAACAACACCCAAATATAAGTTTTATACAATAAAAAAAAAAATAATTTTAATTAAATTCTAAAAAAATGTTTACCATCATCAGCTAAACGTTCACGTAACTCTTGCTGCAATCTTTCGTGACGATCTTCCAATTGTACTTCTTGTGCACGTACCAGAAGTTCTTTTTCATATCTGCGTAGTTCTGTACGTTCTTTCATCAAGTCAAACCATTCCCTTAATAAATCTGCTTCTTCTCTATCTGAACAATCTAAACACATCATTTAATTAAAAGATCTCTTTTTAAGATGTATATAAATTGTTTTTCAGATGATGACAGGTGAAAATTAATCAGATCAATTTTACAAAGGTATATTTTTACTTATCATAAAATAAATAAATACACACCTCCTTCTCCACGAAGTGCTTTTTCAACACTGACACCCCGACTTTCTAACTCTCTTTGCTTTACTTCTGTTTCCTCTAATTTTCTTTGTATTTCCTGTGCCATTCTCAATCTACAAGCCAAACATATTACATTTATTTTCTTATGACACCATATTCATAAAATATTTCTCCACTTACATACCGTTTCAATTGTGCTTGTCGCGTTAATTTTCTCATTGTTTTTGTTTTACGTGAAATACTATTACAAGATCCTTCCGTAACAGTAGCTTTTTGCACTTGGGACGTAGATAAAGCAGCAGTCTTTGTATCATCTTCTGATAAACTATCATCTGACATGAAAATAATTTTTTTTTATATATTCTAATAAATCATAATATTACAATGTTTTAAAATTAACAATTTGTTAACTAGTTTACCTGAAATGTGTGCTGTAACATTGATATAATCTTGAGGTGGTGGAGGAATAGCTGGAGGATTTTCATTGAGGTAGTTTCCTATAAGCATACTTTCACAAACACTCTTGGGCCGTGTCTTTAATTTTGTAGAATCCACTTTATCAATCTGAAAAAAATATATGCGAATGATTTATTTGAATTTGATAAGATATTTATTTTAACTTTATATAAATGTCAGAGTATATTTTTAATATACACTATATACATGGTTTAAAAGCAGATACTGAAATAAAATCACTCTCCAAAAAAAGCATGATTTTTTCAAATAAAATGCTAATACAACTATTGTCATTTGCTTAAAAAGTCATTACTACAGTGCAAGGGCACAACATTTACTAGAAACTACAATCGGACATGGCGTACATATAAAATTTGTTAAGCATTCAAAAAAGTATACAGCAAACGAAAATAAAATCGTGGTACCTGCATGATATGCAATAGCTAATACAAATACTGGCACAAGTAAACTAATATGGCAAAAGTTAATATCAATGACTTAGTTGCTTACATCTGACCCATCCGAATATGATTTATATAACTGAAACATTTTAAGACGAACCAGTTAGAAATGAATACAGAAACATACGCGTCACTTTCAACGTAAGGTGACATCAAAATTTGCCTTCACTTACTTTGCCTTTAGATTTTGATGAAAGGCGGAACATCGATAGCTTGTCCTTTTGTGGAGAGACCGACGGTTCCTTTTTGAAGAAGAAGTCAGAAACTGCCTGAATAATACTTTTCCGTCTTTCTGGATCCTTCGCTTTTTTCGCATCTCCTTTTATTCCACTGGTTACGTTATCAGAATTTGGTGAATTTGTTTGTTTTGATAATTCGTCCATTGATTTTGCACTTATGGTAGATACATCTTTAAGATTCATTTTTTTTGTTATTGCTTTCATATTATCTGTACTTTTACTCGTCTGAAGCTTCAATCCTGGTTTATTTATAGTGAAGCTAAAAGATCTGCTTTTAATTTCAGGTGATGCCGTATCTTCTGTTTTTCTTCTTTCTTCGACCGAATGTTGTCGACGTGCAAACTTCATTTTTAATTCCTTGATTTTATCCTCAGGACTTAATCCTAGATCTTCATCACTTTTCAACCTAGCTCTTTCTCTCGCATCTTGTCGTGCTTTTTCAGTTGTTCTTTTGGTCTCTTCATGTTTGAATCTAGGTGGTGCAATAGGAGTTTTAAAATCTTTATCCACTTCAGATTGTTCTATTTGATTTGTTGTTTTTGTATAAGAAGTACTTTCATTGTTTTCTGTTTGCTGAGATACACTAGAATCGAGAGGCAGTGATTGCTCTGCCTGCAATAGTTTTTTTGCATCAGCAAACGTCATATTATGAGTGGTATTACTAATTTGTGTTTCTAAAGATGTTGGCACGAATTTAGTTGCAGATATATTATCAGCTATAGCAGCAGCGGTAGTAGTAGTAGCAGCAGTGTTAGTCGAAAGTTTCGCTGGAGATAATATAGAACTAAAAGAAGAAGCCCTTGCCGCTCTCCTGGCTTTCTTTTCTGCAGACTTTTGTTTATGTGCAACCAATTTATCCATTAATAAATCTTCAATAACATTTTTTTGCTTAGATCTTTCTCTTGTAATTTCTTCTAATTTACGAGAAGTGGCCGGAGAATTAAGATTATTATTATTAAATGACTCTTGATTTCTAATCTCTTCTGCTATTAATTCCGCTGTTCGAGTTTGTGCTACCAAGTTTTTAGAATTCTTTCTTTTAGATTTTCGGACATCTATCGAATCTTTAGCATTACTAAATTCGGCAATTCTTGATTGGAGACGTTTTACATATTCCAAATAATCTGGGTTACTTGAGTCTGCGAGCGTTTTTCCTTGTTGTATTTGCTCATGTACCTCTTCTTTAGGCACAATGGATTTTTGTGGATTAACAGGGCTAGCAAGAATTGTAATGACTTCACTGGTAGTTGTATCTTCAGCAGGTTCAACTATTAACAGACTATCTTCATCCATAGATTGCAATGAATCATTGTTAATTGTTTCTGAAATAGTTTGTGCCTCTTGGACAGTTTTTGACTCTGCATTATTAAATATTGAACTTTCTTGACGTTTAGTATCCACAGAATTTGTAGCACCATTTAATTTATTCATAACATCATCCATAGTTACAGGGTTGATTTCAATGATATTCTCATTATTAAGGATTTCCTCTTCTGAACAAATATCGTTTTCACATTCTAATGTTGCTATTGGCGCATCGTTTGTCATATTACTTCTTAAGGAAGTAATGGTTTTAATATTTACAAATTCAACATATCCTCTGTTCTTAAGTAATGCCATATTAGTCGCATCTTGCAAACTATCGTCTAAAAGAGATTCATTATCTGTATCCATATAATCAATGTCCTCTCCATTAGCAAGAAGTTCGGAAGTATTATTAGATAAAAATTCTGTTCTTCTTTCTGATCTGTAAGTATATGCTTGTGTATCATCTGGATTTTCTCTTTTCATCATTGAATTACACACAGATGATTTTCCATGGAATAGATTTGAAGTTTTTCTTTTAGTTACAAATTCAGGATTTATATCAAAATCAGTATCTTGTAAATCGTAAGAAACTAAATCTTGACCATCACGAGCCCATTCTGAAAATTCTGTTTCAGTAAGAGCAGCTGTCGTAGTTACGTCGTTTTCCTCTGAATCATCTTGTTTATTAGATATAGCAGATGCTACTGATGCGGAACTACTACAACTGCTTATACTTCTTTGTTTATTATTATCATGTAGATCACATTCCTCTATTTTATTATTTAAAACTTCAATTAATTTTTCATTATTTAAAGATGATTGTACTAAGTGTGCAGCAATTTGTTCATTATTTGGTTGCTCATCTCGTAAGAATGAACATTCAATAGAATCTGGTTCAAATGTTGAACAGATATCTAATATTTTATTCTTATCAATACCTTCATCCAATAAAAGATCTCCATCTGTGCTATGAATTTGAAGCCTTGGTGGAGATAAGTTTGTAGTAAGTAGTTGTTCTCGCTTATTATCTTCCTCTATTTCAACATCACTTAAAGATAAAGAATCGCTATCGATTTCTGAATCTTCCGAACTGTCCGCTTCTTTCAGCTCTTCTTTGTTTTTAGCCCAATGTACTTCAGGAACAATAATTGATGTTTCATGTAATGGACTACGAGGCCGGCAACTAATATTTTCATCTAAACCCGTAGGAACAGTTTTCTCTGTATTTTGGATATTAACATTCTCTGATATCAAAGATTTTGTATTAGTATCATTAGTTTTATTGGGAGAAATTTTTTCTTCAGTTTGTTTTGTTTCAATATCTTTCATAGATTCACTAACGTTCGGAGCAGTCCTAGATTTTAAAATACTTGTTTCTGTTACCAAATCTGGAAGATGTATCTTAGATTCATCTGATATTCCACTAGTAGCTTTATTTTCGTTAGTAGTATTGTTTAGATTAATTTTTGAAACTAGATTAACTGATAGTGGCCTGACAGATTGACCGGAAAATAACATAGTAGGTGATAATGGAGAAAGTTGAGTATTACTTAAGTGCAACTTGCTTGTGCCTTGTAAAAATGCTTGCATTGTTGGACTTGGTTCAGGAGCTGGATTTAAAAGTTTCTGATGCTGAGAAATAGCATCTGTGAGACTTCTTAATTTTGTATCTACATTTGAAGTAGAACCCGACTTCATAACGGAGCCAGCAAGAGCTGGTCCACCTAGCAAATATCTTTTTTTGAGTTCTAAAGACAATTTAGATGCAATTCCCTCTGTAGAATGCGTGCGATTTAACAGGTAGTCACCTTTCCGTGGATTAACTAATGGTGACAGATTGTTTGTGTTGAAACTAGATCCAAGCATTGGAGATTTTGATTCAGTTTTAATTTCTTGTTGTATTGTTTTTTTTGTAGGAGTTAAATTTCTCAATTCAACTTTACCTTCTGTTTCGTTTTCTTGTTTAAATTTTCCATTAATCGATGATATTATTTTACTTTTCACTTGTACTTTCTTAGGCTCCACATAATTACCCCTGGTCTTCCGAACGTATGCATCATTTATTGTAATTTCTGGAATTTCATGTTGCGTTGGTGTAACTCCATCGTGTTCAAATTCAGAATCTGTAGATATTTCTGTGGCTGAATTTTCTTCGCTTTCTTCTGTCGATCCATCGTCGGAAGCAACCTGCAAAAATTAATACTTATTATAATATTATATAAAAATGCTGTATTATATAGTAATATCTAAAAATCATTTAGCATATTAGTATAACAGAAGAAAACTACTAGTACTTATTAAAAGTAGCCATAAAGGGAAAACAATATATGACCCTGTATTTTTTTGTATCTGTGTAATAACTTTAGTATTTCTAATTTTAATGTATTAGAACTATTATTTAAAATAAAGCAGTGAGATTTTTAATAAAGTAATGGCTGGTGGTAATTGTAAATATATCAATAACCTGGCGAGCAAAATCTTTGGTTTTAGTTATATTGCACAAGCACAAACGATTAATTAGTTTCAATATCTGTTAATTTACATTAGTTTAATGCCACGCCATTCACATATATAGAAATTTGTTACCTTACTTTCAAAGGCTTCAGGTCTTATGATATGTATCACCATCAGCCAAGTATTATCTTGTTTTCATGTACTTTATTAACACATCTCACAATACGCTTTAATAATTATTATAAGTTGCAAAATATATGTCCTTGACACAGTCAAGTGCCAAAATTATTTTTTATAACACACAATTCACTCATATCTTCTATATACTTAAAAACTAATTAATTAATATACTTTACGAAATTATACATTTATCTTTTTTAGTTTTATCACTTTTTGAGGAACAAACAGATTTTGTAGACTCATGTAAGAAAGTTCTTTTTAACAAGGATTGACTATCAGAAGGATAACTCCTTTCTTTTAAATTTACATTGGATCCTGGCACAGGAATTTGTTCTGTTCTATTAATACTTTTTTGGACATTACTTTTTTTTATATCAGAATTACCGCGTTGTATGGTTGTTTCTTTATTATTGGAAGATGAAATCGGATTATCTAATTTAGAAGATTTTGCTTCCATGTTCGGTAGTGTTGTAGTTTCTTTTGCAATTGATATTTTAGCTTTAGTATTTTTATTTCTTATTGGAACTTCTGGAGTGTAAGTAGATTCAGTTTTAAGAATATTATTATTTGATAAATTATTATTTGAATGACTTGAATATTTTCTTTCTGGCCGTTTCGGTATTTCTTCTAAATGGCTAGACATATCTGTATTATTGGATATTTTAATTTTATTTAATTTTAGAAGTGGATCTATTTCATTATTACATATTTCTGTACTCAAACTTTCTGTAATATTTTTATTTTCAGATGCAGGAAGATTATTACTATGACAATTAGAATTTATGATAAAAGCATCATCTTTTTGTATATTTTGATCTATGGATTTATTTATTATAGGAATATTTTCTATATTTAAAGATTCAGACAAAAAATTTGTAGAAGATTTGAAGGAATCATTATTAGTAGATATTTTTTCTATCTCTTCTTTAACTGTTGATTGCAAGTTCTTATCATTGAAAAGATAATCTTCTAGAGCACTAATTTCAATTTGTTCATCAATTAAAGAAAGTTCTTTAACACTAGTATTAATATTAAAATTATCTTCCTCCTTAATATCTTTAATGTTCACGTCATTATCTATTTTTGTATTTACTATAACAGAATTATTTATTTGGTTTTCATTATTGTTATTAGTACTATTTTTCGTTATCTGAAAATATTTAATTATATTTTTTGTATCAACTTTATCAGATAATTTAGGCTTAATGTCCAACATTTGATCATTTATATCAGCAATATTTCCATCGTGAGCGATTTGTTCTGTAATTTTTTCGTTGAAATTCGTATTAGTATTTATATTGCCCTGAAAATATTTATTCATTTGAAATCGCGCGTTTTCAACAGACAATGGTCGTAGTTCTGGTAATTTTGTTGCATGTTTCATTCTTCTTTGTCTTAAATCATATTTTAAATTATCAAAAGCAGTATTTTTATGTTCAGATGTTGGACGTTTGATTTTTTCTTTAGGTATTGTTAATTTTGTTGAATCAGCGGAGAGCTTTTCAAGTGATATTTCATTTGTAGGAGAAGGTGATGTCACTGTGACTATTGGACATATGACATCTTCAGTTTTATTTACAGATAAATTTAATGAATTTTGTTTAATACTATTAGTATCACTTATTTCTGTTTGAATTAAATCTTGTTTTGGTAATTCAGATTTATGATCATTGTAATCTCTCATAATAAAATTATCATCATCAACATCCATCAATGCATCTTTAAATATTTCTTGAGTTAATTCGCCAATTTCAGATAATGAACATGATGACGACTGCCTGTTTAATTTAGGGGAAGAAGCAATTAAGTCTGGTAAATTTTCATCACTACTTACAGAACGCTTGTGAGTCGATTCTGTTGTACTTAAAGATTGGCTAGTGAGAGATTCGTTTGAAAGATCTATAATTTTTGATTTATTTGTGATAGTAAGATCTGTAATTTTCTCATTCATATTAGTGTTATTACTATTACTATATAATACTTCATTATCATTAGTGAGATCTTTATCAATAGACATATGAGAATATATTGTCTGATTAGTTATGTTTATGTCATTATCACTTACACTTTTTTCAACTGATCCATCTATTATTGTCATGGAAGGTTCTACTGTATTGATTTTACTGTGCTCAATTTTATCAATATTACTTCCAATAATATCATTTTTAAGAGATTCTATTTGATTACTTTGTATATTTGTTATAGAGGGCGATGTGATATTAGGGTCATGTATAAAAGTGGATTCAGGAAATATAGACAAATCTTGATTTACTGTACTTATAGAGTCTTGACAAATTTTCACCTCTGTTTCTGAACCGGTATCTGTGTCAGAACTCATTGGAGGAACTGGCAACCAGACCTCCTGCTTTCGTAATTCCCGAGCGCGTGCATCATCTTCATCTTCTGTCGCAGTACTGCTTTCGTCTTCTGTACAATTTAATTAAAATATACAATTCTATATATAAAATTAAATAAAATCTACATTATTACATACAATTAAATAAAAAATTTTTTCGAAAATTTTAAAGAATATAATTAACTAGTTAAAGTTCCTTACGTATAATTAGTTTATATAATTATAATACCTTCACTAGTATATTCATCACTAGAATCTTCATATTCGTTACTTCCTGTATCAGATTGTCCTGTTGCGTTTTGAGAATTGGAATAACGAAGAGTCCAATTTTTAGCTAATTCTAAAGTCCCCTCTGTGGTCAATGGCTGGTCTATTGCTTCTTCAAAAACTTCATTATCGTCATCCGAATCACTGAGAACATAAATTAAATGATAAGAACAATATAATTTAAAAATTATATTTTAGATGAAAATAAAATATTATTTAATATTTATAAACTTTCTGTTAAGCCTTTATAAATTTACCTCATATCAGAAATATCATCACTGGAACCCATCTCTGCGGCAGAAGCACCAAAATTTCTATCCGTCCATTCGTCTTCGTCCATTTGACTGTGAGCTTCTTCTGTATCTGATATTCTAGCTAAATTTTCAAATTCAATTCTTTCTGGCGTTTGACCGCGATCAAGCAAGTCAAGTCCTACGACTACTCCTTCCGTTTGTATATTAATCTAATTGTAAAGCAATTTGAAATATGAATATAAAATGTATACATCATTACCTGAATCATAATTATAATTTGAATAATATAAAATTTACCTTTTCTGGAATTATTGCATCAGTAGACGTATGTGCTACATTTTCTTTATTTACTGTAGATTTCTTCTTTTCAATTCTACCTTTCATAGTACCTGGAAGACCAAAATGTTGTGTGCAATAGAATCGTCCACCATTCTTCAGTCTGTCATATGTATGATTTCCTATAATTGAAAAACATTATACTTTATATTTACTTTATATTTACTTTTTATATACATTATACTTTAATATTTTCTTTTGTATTCATAACATTCAGAAGAACTGCTTAATAAGGAAGCAATATTAACCTATTCTTAATGAAGTTGAACAATATTCACAACGGAAACAACCTCTATGAAAATATTTGCCCTCTGCACTCAACCTTTCCATCAAATAAACCCTCTTATTACAAAAATGACACATTTCTGAACCTCCTTGTGCAGGTAACGTCAGTGGTGTTTTAGTATTCTGAAAAATACATTCAAATTATTAAACACAAATAAATAGTTTTAATATAAAAAATTATGTATTTTCTAAACACAACGTGTCTACAAATCTGTTATCCATAATATTAAGTATACATAAACTATTTACACATATAAAAGAGGCTATAAACTGACAAAATATAATATTTACCGATTTCTGCACTTTGAGTTCTGTATCCTGCGTTTTACTTGAAAATTGCTCAGCCATAGCTGAGACTTTATTGTGGCCGAGTACATTACCCTCTTTAATCTTCTTGTCAATATTTTTAAGGGTATTGTCAATTTCCGCATACTTACTATCTACGTCTTTTGCATCATGCCCCTTCTTCTCCATTTTAATTTGTCGAGCTAAAAACTGAATAAAGCATATAGAGATCTGAAAGATATTAATTTTTACATAATGTAATATTATTTCTAGCCAACCTGTTCTCGACTCCATTTCGGCACTCGTTCTACTTTGTCATGTCGTACTCCATGGCCCATTTTGTTTTCTTCTATTTTTCTTTCTATTTCCTTAATATTCCAATCGGTTTTTTCAATCTTACCTTAATATATTATACATAAATATATATAGTTATTATTTTTTAAATGTAAAATGTATAATTTATAAAATTATAAAATAACCAACCAATAGCACGTAGAAGATCTCTCGGTTTTTTTTCTGGCAATCCAGAACCCTTCAATTTGTGTTCAATATTTTTTATTCGTCCAGAAAATTCTTCATCTATTCCATACCTATGATGACAGGCATGTAACTTAGATTCTCTGTCCTGTGAAAAATGTAAAATACATAATTTTAAATTAATAATACTAGCATATTAAAAACAAATAAAACAAAATACTAAAAACAAAACATAACAAATAAATAGAAAAAAATATAAAAAATAGAAATTATACATGCAACATAAATAGAAATCTTGAGCTTCTCAAGCAGTGATAAAGAGCGCATTATTACATTATTGTAAATATTATATAAATTGAAAATTTAGAAGCCAATTATTAAAAATCGCGAGTACATATATCATAACAATAATAATAATATTTTTTATTTGTATTGAAAAAAATAAAGATTAAATTTAAAACATTCCATGAGTAGTTGTTATACAAGTAACAATCATTTTTTACAGTTTTCAAGTACTGTATTAATTGGTTTCTAAATGTTACCATTATGATTCCTAACAATGCTCACACATACGTAATATCAGTAAATGTTTTTGTATGTAATAATTATTTTGTAGCCTGCATTCATCTTTTATTTTCAAAGCAATTGTTAAATTCTTGTTTCGTGGCATAGTATCATTCCATATTTATTTTTAGAAGAAAGTTTGCATCATTGATAGTGGTTAGAAATTGACAGCAAAATTTTATGATAAAGCAATTGTAAGACAACACTTTAGAGCCAAACACCAGAAAATTAACGTTTCTTTCAAAAACGTAAGTAATTGTCTCACATAACACAGTATCTAGCTTACTGGATGCAAGATTTTCTGCTCCAGATCTTTCACTCTATCCTTGAAATCTGGAGCAGTCTGACGATATAAGAATATCGAGTAATCCTCAAAAGGCTCATCTCTTTCCCGTTTTGCATTTGCTTGCAGCATCTGCATACTTTTGTAGAATTGTTGTGTTGCCATTTTTCGTAAGAATTGCCGCCTCTTCATATGTTCGACACGATTCTTTTCTATTTCATCGAGTCTTTTCAGCCTTTCCTCCTTCACATTAGTTTTTAAAATGTATAGTATGTGTTAACTTAATCAAAATAAACTACTTATTTTTGACAAATTCAATCTGTCTTCAATATTTTGCATTGTGTTTTGCATATTATGTAATAATATGTTACAAATATATTCATGTTGTTACTATATATATATATAAGAAAAAAAAAAAAAAGACCATCTTTTTTTACAGTAAAGCTTACTAAGATTTAAATATATTAAGCATATTTATCTCTCTTTCTTTTACATGCAAAGAAGCATATTTTACTATTGTCAACAATTACGAATTTTTTTTCGTAATATTTTCTACGCGCATTTTATAAATAAATTAAAATATTTGAGAAGATAGCATTTGTATTGTTTCAATATATATACAAATATATATAAAAAATTTTGTATGTAACCGATAATCTTCAAACGTTCCATTCATATTTGGCAGATCATGCATGACAGTCAGAACGCAATAACCTCTTCCCGTAGCACAGTGACCGTAAGTCCAATAATTATAAATAAAGATATGAATAGCCCATGAAGTATTATATCTTCGAATTTCTGCCACCGTGACTATAAGAGCGTATAATAACTGTTTATAATAATAGCTCGCGTATTCTAATGTTATAACTAAAATCTTAAACATTGTAAAAGCATAGCATTATTTGAATAATATATATTTATCTCTTACCACTGTTGCACCAATCTTCTCCATACTTCGTCTTTTCCTAGACCGCCGGCTGATAGTATCACCTTTTTTATCTCCATGCTGCTGTATATTTTCACTTGATTGCCGTATACGTGAATGTCTTGCTCGCGATGCACTTTCTTGTTTGACAATATGTCCAAGTAGTTGTGCTTTCTGTTCGGCCGTCAAATGGCTCAGTATTAGATGCGATGATATTTCTTCATTGTCTAATTCCTATAATCGTCGTAAAACGTAGATGAAAATAACAAATAAAAACTTAACGATAATTTAATTATAATAATATTTTTGTAAATTTTATTTACCAATTTAGGATGTTTTATATGTGGTATCTCTCTACGGAAAGCTTCGTATATTTGAGTTAAATAAGAAAACATAGCTAATTTATCAGGAACATCGCACTGAGACATTTCTTCTCCTGTCATTATCTAAAAATTATATATTAACATAATATGAATATTATATTCAAATAAATTACTCATCTTCAATTATTGAATCATCACTTACCGGAGGTATGCCTAGTTCCTTTTCTAAAATATCAAAAGCAAGCTGATTATTTGTTGTTGCTTCCGCTGTTTGTAAACTATAAAAATCGATTAAGTCAGGTCGATATCTGTGTATAATGGCACAGATAGCTAAACCACTTTTAAAAGAAGCACCCATATCTTCTATATGTATGCCTTCATAAAGAGCAACCTGCTTTTGTAACCAACGAAGCAATACGTCCGGATGCACTTGAGAATCTGCTCTAAGATCTATAACAAGTGAAAATGCTCATCCAATAGCTATATGAATGAAAGAACAACCTTATTTTATTATTACGGATATTTAAAAGGTAATCTTTAAATTCAATTTTACCACGACGTCGTCGTTTCTTAGGGATGTCAATTTCAGGCTGTACAGCTGGTTGTTTAATTATCTCTGGATCATCTGTATCGACCAAACTCAGCACTTGTGCAGGAGTAACCGAATGAGAATTTAAATTCGGGTACCTATATAAAAAGAAAATAACATTAAAATAACATATAATGTAGATAGAAACAAAAACTTCTACCTTGTATGAGGATCTAAAGTGTATGCGGCATAATCCCTATTTAAATTCTCTGGAGTAGTCTGACCAAGAAGTCTGTATATCGATTCTCGTTCAGCTATTACTTCTAATGGTGTCAAGGAAGTACCCCATCCTTTTATTGCCCAACAAGCATCGAGTGAACTAAGAAATCCTCTTGCACAACCAGACCCGGTTGGCCAAAATGGCTAAAACGATCGTAAATTTTGTTTTAATTGTAAGACTTATGAGTAATGCGATAAATATAAACCACTTTAATTTGAAATTTGGAAAAGCTAAAGATAAAAGAGAATAAAGCTAACAATCAATGAAGTTTCGAATGGAATAACTAATCGTTTTTAGATTTTGTTTGACATACAGCATACCTCAAGAAGACTGTCCCCGACTAGAATCATGAGTAACCTATGCCCATTACGATTTAAAACACGACTTGCGTTTTCTGCAGCGTACATTGACGTAAAATCGAACATGGCCACGTCCGGTTGACCGTAATGATTAACGGCGAATTCCATGTCCATCATTTGATACTCCGTCGAAAATTCCGCAGCTTCCCTAGCATATAACATCAATGCTTCTCGGTCTACATTTTCCTTAGCCAAGAGCTTAGCAGTATCAGCATGATCCTGAAAATGAGCCATTTCAAATTTGAAATAAGTATCGCTTCATTTCTATAATATCTTTTTCAACGAACGAACGTAATTATGCAATAAAGCCTTTAATCGACAATAATTTTGCTACAGATACCATGTGATTTTCACCTGAAGAATAACACCTTTATCGATCAAGCTGTGTTTCTTGGCGGTCATGACGAAGTAATGCGTATCGTCCTTGTAATAGACAATGTTCTCTAAATCGATACCCGTTTCTTGATACAATTCCTTGAAAAACTTTTGATTAAATATAAAGGCGACACCGCTGATTTCTTCAACTCGTGCTTCGGCTTCAGTTCTTTTATTTATGAAATTAGCTGTTATCGCAATAGCGAGTTTCCCACGAAACTCCTTGCGTTTAAAACCTTCAAGAGTATTTCTTTTTCCATCGGCACCGATAAGCACGTCGAATTCGTATTGCGATACAGGATGATCGGCAGGTGAGGTCTTGGCTCTCCATCCGATCTCTATGAATCAAATGAGTACAAAAACAAATTGAACTTTGATAAAATAAATCCAAAGAATTATCAAATTAATTATAGAATGCACATGACTCGTTCATCGACTTCGCATTAAATAAACATGTTATTCCGATTGCATTTAGACTTTCTTATGTACTCTACATATAATACATGCACCTTCTATTCGTATGATGTTATAGCCGAGGCTAACAGACATCTTTGAATAACAAATGCACTTTGATAACTTTTAATCCTCCGTCGGTTTGATAATTTCAATGAACTTATTAATTGTTACGAATAAAAACATATTTTATTATCTCGAAAGCGTCATATATATGCTTTGAGAGAGAGAGAAAGATAGAGAAAAATACAATGTTTTTAAATTACAATTAAAATAGTATCATCATATCTCTAGTGAAAGGAAGTACTTACTGGCTTCCTCTTGATTATCCGGTGGTGGTATCAACGATTCGAAGCTGACGCTCTCATGGAACTCAACGCCGAGAATAAGGGCGACCTTGAGTAAGATGCACTGCAGCTGTCTTATGCTGATATGATCGATCGAGCCAGCGCAAAATTTTCCAAAGAATTTCTTTGCACCTAATCCACGAAGATCTTGAATAACGAAGGGCCAAAGGTGTAGAACGTTATTTCTAGACATTCGATCTCTTTTCTCAATGACCACGACCTTTGCACCTAACAACTGTGCCTCTATCGCGGATCGAAGCCCACAAGGACCACCTCCTATGATCAAGACCTGGGAAAAAAAAAATAATTCTATTTATTCCTTTCCCTTTGAAGAGAACACATAATCCATATCCGATGCTAGAAAAGGATTGAACTCACCCTCGCATTAGGACATGCCTTTCCGCGATTGTAGCACTTGTGATTGGCTCTTTGATCGAATTTCTTCCACAAGGCTTGCGCCTTCCACGATCGCAGTTTCGACTTCAATTTCGGATAAAATTGACTTATCGTATTCGGCTTGATCTTGAGCAACTCGCAAAGATTTCGATAATGGCCGAGTATAGATTTTAGGGTAGTGGCATTGCAGAATTGATCGAAGACATCGCCAGCTATAGCCGCCTCCGGTGAATTCGCCGTTGTTTGATGTTTCTTACCCAATTGCTGCTGTTGCTGATCCATTGTGTTACACCTGGACTCTTACCGATAACGTAGTCGATGTATCATTACCTATGGTTAAGCGAACGTTCGCGGTTATGTAACTTCCACCTTCTAAGAGATCCGATCGCGTGAAATTGAGAAGAATAAGTGGGAAGAACTAGCTATACGATCGGCTTGGCAAAATGCTATCCGCAAAACAGAATGTATGTTACCAAGTTGTTATTCGCATACGTATTCCGTATACATTGTAACCGCATGGGAATTACATACAGTCAGTTAAAGAAATATATATATATATATATATATATGTTCCGAGACTTTTTGAAATCGAATATAAATAAAATAATACGTAAGTAATATAAAATACGATAAATATATGATAAAGCGATAACGATTATATGATAAAGACGATAAATGTAACGCGTAGAAATGACAAAAAAAAAGTTATTTATCGTTAAAGTATGACAAAGTCTTCTCTTATTTCATATGCAAATCACTGATCTCTTCTAGAAAATTCTATGTATTCTAATGCGCATATAACCGCAAAGAATGCAATTATTCGTACCACACTGTACAACCCTAACGTAATAATATTGCATTTGCTACCGTTACGAGTCCCAATAATTTTCTATAATATCAAAAACGACCAATAAATTTAGAATTATTTTATGATTTACCAGCACGTAACGAGGATAATCAGAAAATACGGGATCAGCAACCTAGATTCAAGTTTTGCTTTGGTCTCCTCCTTTTCGCATGTTGAATAGCATAGAAATGTTAGTATAGAATGTATGTAAAATATGGTGTTATATACAAAAGGAGAGTGCAAATGTTTATTAACACACTGCTGAACGTTAATATATTCTATATTCGTAACACGCCGAAACGACTTCCGTGTTTGATAGAAAGAATCAAATAAAATAGAAACCAGGAGTAATATTTATAAGGATTACAAACAGCCAAGCGAATTGTGAAATCTGTTAAAACGAGCAAAAGCATGCATTAAACATTCGAGCTTTAATTAGTTTTAATCGCGATACCGTGTATAATACAAACCCGTAACAACTATTCCATGATCGCATCATAACCATCGATCTTATTTCTTCTTTTTTTTTTTTCCTCTGTTAGATTTTTATGTTAAAGGAAGTAAGAGGAAGCACTCTCCATGCTTCTGCATTCCGAATAAAGTTACGAAACACGAACAAGGCACACGTGACTGCGACTAACGCACACGAAACTATGAAATACTAGGACCTATTGATTTTTCATTATCTAAGATAGAACAGTCACGAGTGTTATGAGGCTCAAGTAGGTACTAGTAAATAAATTCTGACTTCTCTTTCTCGGCAACCGTACGATGACGATCATCCTAAATAAATGTCACGATCTCTGATAATGTCTTAAAGACAGTCACTTTAATCTTGAATCATTGACTTGATCGCGTTTTCCCTCTTTCAATGTCTTTTTATCAACTCGTATTAGTGTGATAACAGCTTATATAAATAAATATATATAAATTAAAAATGTACTTATCACACATATACAGTATTGCTCTATATTAGGTCATGTTAAAAAACATTAGCATCACTATATGATATGCATATCTATACAGACGTAAATTGTTGTCTTTCATTGTAAACTCATATCCGATGAATGTTCTCTCGAAAATATAACTAGTAGATTTAATTCCGATTAGATATAAATCTTAGTAACGACAATCGTTTGAAGTCCATTGACATTGAATTTACCGTAAGTTTTCATTATTTATCTGCTGTCCACGAAACAATCGTCCCGAATACTAAATACTAAACGTAACTGAGAATGATTTGAAGTGGGTAATCAGTTCACTGGGTTATCTATTAGAAGCTATACCAAACGAATGAAAATTGAGCAATCAACGTGTCGTTGTAGTGCCCTTTCGTTAAATGTTATTTTGGTCCTGTAGTTAACGTAATAGTATCGCAGTAGTAATCGAGCTTTAGTTCGTATTAATGAACGTAGTAGAATGGGTCCGACTCTCGTAAAATAGTATCTGCCTGTAGAAAAGAAATGTATGTTCGATGATGTTATTGAAGTAATAACAACGTGTTTTATCTACTTCCATTTAAGGTAATTCTTATTAAATCGCACGTTATCGATAATAGATCGATATCGGTACAAGCAGATGGTGTAAGTATATATATATATATAATGAGTGAGTTTTATATCAAACAAAACTTATCTACTAATGATAGTAAGCCAAGAAAAACGCCAAGAAAAACACCAAGAAAAACGCCGATCCCAAGGGAAAGAAACCCTCTTTACTTTGTATACTTGTATTTTCCCCGTTTGCTCGTACAAACCTTCGGTTCTCAAGCGTCGCGAAGCGAGAGCTTATCTATTTTATCTGAAATAAAGGCGATCGTAGAAAATACGATCTCCGAAGAGGGTAGCTTAGCCGTTCGCCTCTATAAATACGGTGGTCGAAGAGATGGGCGAATGAACGGTCGAGATGCAATTCCACGAGGAGAGAACTAGGGCGGCCGGTTCTTGGCGACCAATTTTATAACGATCGTGGGCGTTGAGAGGGAAGATAAAAAAGAAAGAAAGAAAGAAAAAGAAAGAAAAAAGAAAGAAAACTTTGGCCGGGATGGACACGCTCGCTTGCGGGTTCTCTCTCAACGAACAAAGAAAGAGAATTGGCTTTCCGACAAATCTACATTTTCCACCGATTTTCTTTAACTCTATGCGTGTGCACGTCTTTGTTACTACTTTCGCGAAAGATTTAACTAACATAAGGTTAAATCGTGGATTTATTAGCATTCAAGTCACGGTACGTAAGTAAGTACTTACGTACATACATATCTCAATCGTGGGACTTTTATTTAGGATCGCGAAAGGGGAAAAAGTAAATAGATTTCTTTATACATGTAGGTCAGAATTTACGTTTGAAACTAGCCCTTTTCTCACGTTTTCACGTTAGACGATAAAGGCTTTTCGTGGGCGAATGAAAAAGTTCGTGGTTGAAACTGTAACAATGCGGGCACCGAGTAAAATCAATGTGATAAGAATAGCAAAGCGCGTTTGATCGAGTGAACGCGCTCACGTGCTCAGCAACGAGAATGTGCAGGTCCACGTCGGAGAATGCACCTAAGTAGTGTGTTGTTGAACGTGCTTCGTTGTTGTATGCAAGCTATGAGAAGGGAAAGAGGGAGGATGCAAAGGTCTTCAACCTACGCGTTGTCTGCTAGTCGTCTTCCGTTAATATCGTTAATGAGCGTATGCACAGCCGCCGTTGAGTTTATAAAGGTTCCTGCTGCATGTAAAAGAAAATATGCCAGCTCTCACTCTCTCTCTCTTTCTTTCTTTCCTTCCTTCCTTCTTTCTTTTCCTTTTTTTTCTCTTTTTCCTACTGTCAAAGAAAGTCAACCTCTGCGATATAAAGATCAAAGAGTGTAGTACAAAATTTTGCAACCACTTAAAACAGTAACCTTACAAATTTTGAAGTACCCCATGAGCATAATTTTTCAAAGTTGATTATCCTCCAAACGACTCGATCGTCCCACATGACTCCATCCTCTGTCCAAATTTTCTAACAGATTAGACTGTAAAAGAGGTTTTCATTACGGTTCGTTACGATCGAAAAAAAAAGAAGGAAGAAGAAGACGAAATGAACTCCCACCGGACGTGTAGTCAGGCTTCGGTTACTAACAATTCAAATGCGAGACGAAAATGAAGCGTACACCCTCCTACTGTTTCGATCTAAGTACCTTGAATAAAGTTAAATCATCAATTAAGTCTGCTTAATTAAGTCGATAATAGCTACGTCATTCAATTAATTCCAGTGTTTGCATTTTAATAAGAAATGTATTGTTATTAATCAATCGACGAACAGGTTTTCACGATTATCAATATTGTAAGATGAGAAATAGCATTTTCACGGCGTAGATAAAAACTACATCTCCCGTTTCTTAAACTAATGTAAGATATATATTTTTAGATTCTGCGCGAGAAAGTAGTCGTTCGACTCGTTCAGAATAATAATATTACAAGGAGGTCCAAGAACTCCTAACGCGTTTTAAGATGAAAACAGAATGTCCGATGTAAAAATAGCACGTTAGTATTAACAAAAACCATAAAGTATATTTAAATAAAGATATTAAAGATTCTCTTCGCGAATATAAAATATTGTGGGTTATATATCATATAAATCGACGACTTAGTTAGTTGCCAAGAAAAGATGACGAATGAAGACGTAGGCGAAATCACTGATGCAAGATCGATTAAATTAGCTGGTACGCATCCTTCGATACTTGATAACTGATACGAGTTCACTTATCTATTCTCACTAACTGTTATGCCTATTTATGATAACGCGAGATCAACTAATGCGACACAGTGTATCGTACAAAAAATATTTGTTTACTTCCTTTCATTCACCGAATATAATTATTTTTATTTTGGAAAATTTGTCACTTTTATTCGAATATCTCTTTTCTTAGCAATACAAAAATTCAAACAAAGGGTTCTTATCAATGAGTATAATTGTATTTGTTGTCATACCATCTAGTGATTCAGTTTTCTTTAAGATTTTCAGAATAAACGTTAGTGGAATAAATTCTTTAGACATATGTCTTTTGACTCATCCGATGACGCAAAAAAGAGAAAGAGAAAAATAGATCTACACGAGTCACAATGCCGATTTTAATCAAAATTGTCGAAAAGAGCAAAGATAACAATAAAGAAAATAAGAGAATGAGAAAGAGATTTCTATTTCCATTTCTTTCTCTCTCCATCTTTCTTTGTCGTTTCTCAATGTGACGTTATCAAGTAGACCTTGACTTCACTCCCGGGAAATCTACATGCATGCTGTTTTCATAGTAAGAAAAACGATTCTAAAAGCTACACCAGAGTCATCCATTTCTTTTCTTTTTTAGTCCGTCGACGCAATTTGACGAAGAAATCAAATAATAATAATAAAAAAGCATGAAACTACCAACGTAACTCGGCTCGTTACGTTCACCGCAAAGTTTTTTCATTGGATTCCAGTGGTGTTCTTTGATGGCAAAGTTCCATCGTGTCGGACAGCCAGTCACGGTGAAAAGAATGAAAGAAGCACGTATTCTAAGTGCCTTCCTTCTCTGTCTGATACCACTCGTGCACAGTGTTTCAAGTAGAGCACTACGGAAATTCTATTCGTCGCGACACCGAGTAATTACGACAATCCACCGTTTCTTATCTCTCCGCCTAACATATTCGTTAGGCATCGCGATCGTCCGACGCAATTAGAACAGCACGATCGTGGTGCAAATGAAGTATGCGCATACGTGCACTTGAAGGGTGAACATCGTTCCAACATAGTTGCGAAAGTGACTATATTTTAAATGAAAATCAAGGATGGAGAACATCAAAAGAGAATATAGTACACATTAACGAGCTATATTAAAAATGATATTCATGTCTTTCTCAACTCGGCGTTTAATGCTTCGATTATTAAGGTCGAATAATATTAATATAAACGTCGTGAGCCAATCAAATTCTCACACTATTTCCCGTCTTTTATTCATCAAGATTAAACGAACAAGCACCTCTTCAAGACACACCTTCATCATGATTGATAACAAACGTTACTCTTGTAAGGAAGAATATTATATGAAATTTACTCACGGAAGAATCTTTAAATTATCTCGGGGTATTCGCGATCACGTTTGCAAAGCTTTCTACGTCAAAAAGGACGCGAACCAGATGTCACTGCTGGTAAGAAGAAGGCAGACACCCTATTCTGTTCGTCGTTATTCATTGCACCCACTGCAAAGGATAAGCAGGGTGCAGCAGACAGCACCCTTTATATGATATATAGCTAGCCCTTCCTGCTGCATTACAGTTTCTTGATTTTCGTAGGTACTTCGCATCGTCAACAGCCACTATTGGTGTTCCCTTCTCTTTTACTTGAACGAGGGGCGAATACAAATGGATCTCTTCTCTCGTTTACAGCGAGACGCTGTGCATCCGACATCAAACTACAACGCGTAAAAAAGATATGTAGAGAGAGAGAGAGAGAGAGGAAAGCAAAAGATGTATATTACACGTTTTCGCATAAAAAGAACATAATCTTAACGCTAATGAAAACGATGGAAGAAATATAAAGAAAAAAATATAAATATAACAAGAGAAAGATTTTAAAAATAAGATAACAAAAATAATCAATCGGAAATCTAAAGACAGATTTGCTAAGAAGGTAGGACAAGTTATAATGGAAACTTACGGGCGTATTCGTAGGAGTACTGTATAGGACGTTGTATCGACGAAGGAAGAAGGAACGATTTGCATATAATCGGAAATATGTGGGAGCATGAGAAAGAGAAAGACATGGCAAGAATAATGCTGACGGAAGAGAAGACAGACTATACTATCATCAGCAGGCCGATTCATAGCGAACGATAACATCTGCTCGAGCACAATATGGGAACCGTGATAACACTTATCGCTCAGAACTGTTTCATGTATCGTATCTTTTAACAGGTATATTGCATCGAGATAAACGTACCACGACAAAGGATCATCTTACAGAAACAAGACGCGTTTTATCATCCACAAGGGAGAGAGAAAAAGAAAGGAAAAAAGATAAAGAGTCCTTTGTTAAATCTTACCTCTTTATTTTCGAATTCCTAATGAAAAAGAAAACTCGAAAGAGAAAGAAAGACTCTACGAAGTCTCCTCATTAGGTGTCTACACAAACGCCAGATCAAATGTCTCCTGGCTAACTCTTGTTTTCTTTATAGAGACATTATCGTCTGCAAAAACATGAGTTTAATCAAAACACTTGACCAAAAGAAAGGAAAAGAGAAAGATAGAGACAGAAATCACTTTAATTATCCTTCGAAACGCTTTAAATTATACTTAAAGACGATTTCTTCGGTTACCAACGTGTGACAGTTCTAATTTTGGAATGATTCGTCATAGCCCTAACGCGAAGACCTACGCTAAAAATACGCTCGATGTATTGCGAGATAGAGTTAGAAAGAAAGAGAGTAAGAGAGAGAGAGAGAGAGAGAGAGAGAGAGAAAGATAATGAGAACAACCGTACGTAGATATAAATTTTTTTCTTTTTTCAAATTTTGATAAACGATAAAAAAAAAGCGAATTCAAAATTTCTTTCGAGTCTGCCATGAACTCAACTATCTCCTTAGTAACGCAAACGATAGAAAGTGAGAGGCTGTTACTGCTGCTGCATCGTTCAAATTAGGCATATCGCCACCCCACGCAGTTTAAAACCCGAAGGTGGGATTGTCAGACAAGCGGGATCACCGATGACGCGTCTCGAAAACCATCTACTTTAAAGGAAAGATCGAGTTTATGAACGATCTTTGATACTTCGTATTCTCGTTATCTTCACGACGACCATCCCTGAGAAAGGGATTCTAATTTTTATTTACGACTTAATAAAATACATTTTGCTGGAAAAAAAGGAAAAGAAAGAAAGAAAGAGAAGGAGAAATAGAAAACCTTGAAAACGGCTTAGAAACTAAATTACATTTCATTATTATTGAGGAAAATAGAAAGACTTGCGTGCGGTTTTACATTTGAACGTGAACACAGGGAATTACAAATGGAGGTCGAATTATCGTAATGTTGATTCCAGCGATATATAAGCGACCATTGTGATAATGTCTAATGCACATGGGATTAACGCTATGTGGAAAATTAGTCGCAGCTGCAAAATAGTGTCCTTGGAAACGGAAAATTCTTTCTTTCTCGAAGATCTAAACGACGATCTTTGTACTGATCTTTTGATCCTTAGCACCGCTCATTGTTCTAAGTTGTGATTAATCAAATTGGATATAATTAAACAAAAATTTCACAAGAACGCGCAGAATTATAGTTATCTTTTGATTTATATATGAAAAAAATGTATTGTAAGTCCAAAAATAGAATAACTTGTTGCACGTTTAAGAAAAGAACATTAATGGATATTTTAAAAATCTACTTTAGTACTACTTTTTAACGATAATAAAGCAACGTTCATCGCGTATCAATTTCTTTTTTATACGATATGTATAAACTCGCATCTATGTATATAAATACATAGATATAATTGGAAAATGCAAAAACCAAAATTTCTATTGAAAGTTGACGAAGAATGACAATAAAAAAGAAACGAGAAGTTGCAAACAATTTCTAGAAGGTATCGCAGTTGAACGAAAAGAAAATGGCGACAAACGGTAAGAAGACAAATACGGAAGTTAGAACGAAAGAAGGAACGAATCCTATCGGTGACTCTAATAGCAATTAGAAACACGAGACAATTGAAAGAGTAAAAATAGTAGACAAATCTATTCGCCTCCTCCTGCACTCTAAACTATGCTTTAACCAGCGTTCCCCTGTGACACGTGGTTATTGCGAAGAATCTCTCTCCTAACATTTTACTACGATCGATTAAATGCGGAACATGATTCACTAAACATTTTCTTAAGCGTGACGTAATGAATCTTTTTTCTATCTAACGATTTCTTTCCGAGATAAACTTTGCTTTGGAAAAAAAAAAGATCATGATCTACGTTGGAAACAAATTTATATATATATAATCTCCTATAAAATTATTAGGTATATACTTTCTTATCATTAACATAGGCTACAGTGGTGGTGGTAGTAGTAATAATGATAATAATAATAATAAAAAATTACCAATTATTAATAAATAGTAAACCATAATATTATTTCTAATAAATATAAGGCAACACTATGATTAATTCATATAACAATACTACAATTTCCTAGTTATTTATTTAATCATTTCCACTTTAACCCCAATAGTCATCTTCCTATTGCATAG